TTTTTTTTCGAATTTTTGGGGATAATGGGGTAGGTCATTTGTTTTTTGTTTCCTACAATTTCTAAACTACGAGGGGGCTCCTTTTCAGTGTGACAGCAAAGAGCTCCGCAACGCTGATGATCGTTTTGGTAAATCTGCGAGAATCACCTTGGCACTGTGTCAAAATGGAGTATGAGTATACCCCCAAAAATGCACTTTAAACATCTTACACAGAATGAGGATGAATGAGAAACATATATGAAAATATGGGAAACGGATGATCCACCAGAAAATGTGGGCTCATCCCCAATTCTTTTTATCTTTTCTGGACGAAACGATTGCGCTGTGAAGTTGCGAGATCATGTCTCATCTACGTTCATCAATTTCCTGATTAACTGGAGATGATGGCATTCTAACTTGTGGGAACTCTTATACAAATCTTTTTGCACCCACAGGGAACACGCATCACAGTACTCTCTCAACGGTGACATTGCAAAAATAGAAGTTTCAACTTGTGTAGAGAATCAGACCTGAAATGAACCAAGTGAAGAAAACAACCAACAAATCATAACAAATCCCCCAATGGCCTTTCTCCATCTTCAGCTGTTGCAAGACCTTCTGTGGATCATGCCTTGGCCGCAAGGGAACATCTAAAGGAAACCATGGAAACCACAGGTCTGCCATGTTCAGTCAGCTGAGTTGGATGCTCGCCCACCAGTGCTGTTGAACAGGGTTGAGGCCTTGTCACAATGATACGACATCAGGTGTACCAACATTCACCCTCTGGGCTATTCTAATTATGTTCTTTTTTTAAAAATGGGATATGTATGGATATGTGGCCAATCAGATCTGTGGGTGTGTCGGAAAATGGTGGTATTGTATGCACACATCCAAAATGACCACAAAGTATGAGGGAGAACATGGTAATAGAACATCAAAACCAGGGGTGCACAGTCTTCGGACGAAACTTTAGTGGGTCAGTGACGTCTTATGGGTTCGATTTCGAACCATAGACTCAAAACCAATCCAATTAGATATCATCAATGTCATCTCGTGAAACATTCACAGCTAAACGTCGTAATCCATACATCTACTGTTTCTATATAATGATTGCTTCGCGACGACAACCGTGCGCACCGGAATTGTTTGCTCACGGTAGCATGTGTGGGCTCTCTCAGAAAGACGATAAAGCCTATTTGTAACGTTTTGTTTTTAACCTTTGTGAGACCATGTAAAGGTCTTTTTTTGCGGTTAATCAAGCTAATAGCTATTGCAGCTGCTTCCGGATCACACACACACACAAAACTCCTCGGCACCTTCGGTGCGGGCGGATTTTTCTATCGTTTCATCTTTGGGTGCCAACGTGCTTCACTACAAAATCCCGATCAATGATATATATATATAAGGCAATTTCCCTGCAAATGGGTTCCATATCATTATGTTTGAGTGACAAGGGTGCAAGCTGATGATGCCAACTCTTTTCTGCACGCAATCTGATAGAGTCAGCGCAGCACAAAGTTGACGCCTGGCACGCGTGAAATGTTTCTACAACTCGTATCAGCAACAATGCTTTGTAGCACAGCGCATTTTTTTCAACCCCACTCTGGCTTCATGGCTCCCCACCAAAGCCGTTCTCTGGAAGGAGGTTTTTGCTCCTTGTCTTCTTATTTTTTTTCAGCTCTCTCACTTGTTCAGTCTTCCAACGGAGGTCAGATTTCAAAGATCGGATTTCTTCACCTCAGTGATGATGGCAGCTGTTGAACCACCACATTGCAATTTTTACCACCGACAACAAAAAGAAAGAGTACAATCGGTGACGCAACGCTCACACACACACCCACTTGCACACCGAGCCAAGCCACGGAGCACATAGGCCTCATGTATGTACTCCTCCTCCATTTTGTAGCACAAATGGCAAGATTTGTCCGTTCCCCCAAGCTTCAAATTTGAAGCCTTCCCCCCTGGAACATCTTTGACATTTTGAACTGGCACAGGTGGATCAAGCACCCCCGGCTTCAAGGCTGAAGCTTCTACAAGGTTTTGGGCATCTTGAACTGGTGCAGCTTGATCAAGCACCCCGGGCTTCAAGGCTGAAACTTCTACAATGTCTTTGGCATCTTGAACTGGCACAGGTGGATCAGGTTCTTTAGGCACTTTTGCTGCTTTTTTGTTCCGTGGGCCACGCTTTGGTCCTAGGGCACACCCGAAGATTGAACATTCAAACCGAACCGTGGCCACAAACAAACACTTTTTATCTTTTGACCCCCGGGCTACATGCTAGCCCAGTCTCGGTTTTTCTCATAAAGCTGTTTAAGCGCCTTCCGTCGTGGTTCTTTTTCTTCAGGCACCTCCACCTCTAAGTACTTTGAGCGGCGTGAAACCATGGGACTTGAGCGAAGCACGGGCTTATGTACTCTGGTTTTTGGATTGACTGGTTCATGCAACTATATAAGGGTTGTCCTTTTTTATCATATGCCAGCTCAGCACTGTCATGTCTCACTAAGCCGTGCAGATACAGTACATACAATGAGAACCTCAGTGACAGATGCCTTGGAGCACTTCCAACTTCCAAAGTCCAAAGGTTGTTCCCTCTTGATCCGGAAAGAAGCAGGTAAAATAAAAATAGCAAAAAGAGAAAATCATGCATGCAGGCACACTTGGTGCACACCAAGCATATCCACAGTGCCGTTGCCCCACCCTCTGCCTTTTTGAATGCAAGGTCAAAGCAACAGTTCCTGGAAACAAAAACTGTCAACTTAAGAAGCTTAACTCGACCACGTTGAAAATCTTTTCAATTGAAGGTTGATGATTGTTGTTCATGGTGATTATGTCTTGGTCTGAAGCAGTCCTTGCTAAATCCGTTGGTTCAGGAAGAGTTCCCAACCTCAGCCAAAAATGAAAACAGCCAAAACAACTCAAAGTTTCAAAATACAGAATGCAAAAGCAATGCAAAGTTGCTGCTCTGCAAGTCTTTTTTATCCTTTTTCCTGGCAAGCTCGAAAGAGTATAGGCTCAAAAGTATTGAGCCCCATCCAGTCCTTAGAGCTAGTTTTTGATATACTAAACATTGCAAAGTAGACACTTTTCAGGCTGTTCAGGTGAACAAACGCATACGTTTCTTGTGCGTTTTGTGTGCGTATGTAGCTACAAGTACCATGCGCAGTGCGTATGTATGTGCGTATGCCTCTCCACACCCGGCGCACCCGGCGCATCCCGGCACAACCCGACACAACCCGGCACAACCCGGCACAACCCGGCACAACTGGCAGATCCCGACTTATGTGTTTTATAACGTTTATCATCTATCCAAGGCTCCACAGAGGTCAGAAGATGAAGACGTTAAGCATATACCACACCTGCCACCAATACATATTTGACAGCAACATGACACCAGTCAAAGACTTGGACGCCGCATCATGTGGTATCATGTGCCCTGTGTCCAGCTGCGCCTGCATTTGAAACTGACCAGAAAGAATGCCATTGGACCATTGGAGCAGTGAAGCAATGAGTCATTGGAGATCATCGGAGCTATGTGTGTTTCATATATGTTTTCATACTCATACCATCTCATACCTGTCAATGTCAATGTGACTTATCAACTATCAAAGTTGTGTGTTTTCATAAGTCTTTCTGAAATGTGACAGCATGTGGGTGGCCGGTATCGGTATGCTGCTTGCCCCCAAACAACACTTCGTGGTCAAAGCGCCAGACCCTCAGCAACTTTGAGAAGATGACATGCTGAAGAAAAGCTCGCAATGACAAAATGATGTCATGAGTTCACAGTGAGTGCATATGTTGAGCGCAATATTTTCAGAGAGGGCCTTGCCCCAATGTGATGAAACAGGCAAAACAGATTCAGAAGCTGAGAATAAAGAAAATTTGATCAAACGTCATGACTGATATAGTTTACATGTGCGTCCATGGGCACAGATATTACTATACTGTTGGAACTGTGATTCAGACCATTCTCCATGGATTGAAAAATCATGAAAAATCACTCACTGAATGGCATCGAAGTCAGCATTTTCCAACGGCGGTCTCCTTTGGCCTGTGCCTGAGCTTGGCCCTTAGTAGCCTTTGGCTGAAAGGTGTTGCGGTCGGAACTCGGACACATCCAATTGAAGCAATGGAAAATGATGAGAAAAACATTATCGGGATAACCAACTAAAAATATTAATTTGAATGATGCTTAATTTAATGAACTGTGCATTGTTTTGAAGATCCTTTGCCTCAAAGCATGTTATACACACCATGTGCTATTAATATTGATTCCAGATGATTTGGATGATATAATGGGCAGCGCCTGAGTTGCCGAGTTGATCAAAACTGCTGGCCCAATTGTCCAGACATGTTCACTCGATCTCACCGATTCCATCACAACAAGCGGATCACTTGATTGGCTTCCATGGCTAAGTCCTCGGAGCCCCTGAGAAAGTACAATGGCTTTCCTAAGGGTCGCAGTGGTGAAAATCACCATGATTACCATGATCATCATCATTATCATCAACAGTGCCAACTGCTGAGGACCAATCATATGCTGCTGACCTGTGACTGCAGCCGAGCATCGAGGTGTCAATTCCTGAGTATGGTCTGCGAGAGTGAAACTTCACGCTGAAAACATTTTGGGAAACTGATGCTACACTGCAGGGGTACAGTATAATAGTAACTAATAACATTATATAACTTTATATAACTCATGGACAGTAATGATATTGCTTCACAAGAGTTCATGTTGCAGCAGAGATGCGTTGGCTTCCTTCAAGTAGGCGATGCGCCAAACACAGTGAAGCGTTCGAGAAGCATCCAAAACCTGGCAGAGAATGAAATGAACTTCTTTTGATACCCTTTTGATCCCTTTGGAGAACATGCTTCACGTTTCAAGTCATTCAGTTCAAACCCACACCTTCTCAGTAAAGACATTGGCCAATGAAGAGTACTTCGAACCACTTGTCAAAGATGGTGGGGACCACTGGAAATAGACCGGAGTGGGCTTCGGTTTGACGTCAAAGAAATCTGCACCTACAAGAAGCACAATGAGATTTAATAGTGAGATTTAATAGTGAGATACGATGGACAACGGTTGCCAATCAACAGTGACCTGAGGCCCTAGCTGTCAGCTGCAGCAGCCCCATCACCACAGGCTGGAGCACGGCTGCATTCGTGGCCATTGATGGTGCAGTCAACCACTTCCTCCTCTTCCATTTCATGCAGCAACGCTCTCAAAGAAGAGGTTTCAGCATCAGTTGTTCCTTTTCCAGAGCTGTTTGGCATTTCTAGCACGACTCTTTCCATATCAGTTTGGAGAGCGAAGGTTTAGTCGAGGTCACCTGCACAAGCAGTTAGCTATAGTAGTGCACATATGAGTCCAATATGTTTTCAAATCATGCAGTGCTGCGGTCAAAGGCATGTGTTGCTACCAATGGTTCCAAGCCAATTTCAATGAGTGATAATTTTTCAAATCGCACGAAGCTTCGTGACACCCCAACCAGAACGATTGTATGTGAGCACAGTGGCATCACATAGGACAGCACTCATGCTGTCGTGAACCTAAGACATCTGCCCGCTACCTGACAACCTTGTGGGTTGATTTCAGCAGGATTTCGAAGACCAAAAAAGCTTTGCAACATACAGCTCTACCCAGCCCCTATCAAACATATGTCACGGTCAAGTGAAGTGCAGGAACTTTTGAAGAACATCATGTGTGAATGACCGTTGCCTTTGTTTGAGACATCACTTTAGGCTGGATACTGCAGCGCAAATCCAAAAGACAGGATCTACTGCTTCTTGGCCAGGCGTCTGCGGCAACGCTGAGTGGGCGTCATGTTCCGGATGCAGTTGGCACGGATCTCAGACACCTTCCACCTGAGGACGGGAGGGAAACGAAAATTGGCACATGAAACATAAATCGCATCGATGAGAATATATCAGCATCAGAATCGAATCAGGATAAAATCAGAATCGTATCGTTCTCGTTTCATTGGGGGTCTGGCGAATCCCTGGCCATTTTCAAAATCTCTCGGCCAGTCTTGGTAGGATTGTCTAAGCGAAGCTGGTTCATCTGCTCCTTCATGAACTGATGGTAGGCATCTCTCATCACTTCGCCCTGGCTAAAGAGTATTTTGGACAAATGGTTGCCAGTTGACACGGTTTCACTTAATGAGCGAACATCTAAAGCAAACAAAATAGACATATTCAGCATCAATATGTCCTATAATCAAATGATGTTTTGCCATTTTCACTGTTTCTACTCATCAAACTCTAAAGTGTTTGAACCCTGCCTTGCTGCTCTTTCTCTTCTTCGCGTTCTTGGGCTCCGGCTTTTTGCGGGAAACCTCGGGCTCACTTTCATCATCGCTGCCTTCAAATGACGTAGCGTCCTCTTCACTGTCATTCTCATCCTCATCCTTCATCTTGCTGCTTGCTGCCTTCGGTTTCTCATCGACCTCAGTGTCGCTATCATCCTCATCCTCTTCTTCCTCCTCAACCTTCTTCTTGCCTTTCTTTGCATCCTTCTGCTTCTCTTCTCTGTCTGCTCCATCTTCATCATCATCATCCTGCTTCTGGCGCTTCTTGGGTTCATGGGTCTTCTTCTCCGTCTTCTTGTCAGTGCCGCTGAACTTCCCCACCTTGGATTTGTTCTTGTCGCCCTCATCGTCCTTGTCGGCCTTCTTGACCTTCTTGGCTTTGCTGCCAGTCGAAACCTTTCCTGTGGGGCCATCCTCATTGTCCTCCTCATGATCCTTCACCTTCAGCTTCCTGCTCTTCATCTTCTCTTCCTTCTTTGGCTCATCATCCTCATCCTCTTCTTCCTCCTCAACCTTCTTCTTGCCTTTCTTTGCAGCCTTTCGCATCTCTTCTCTGTCTGCTCCATCTTCATCATCATCATCCTTCTTCGGGCGCTTCTTGGGTTCATTGGTCTTCTTCTCCGACTTAGTGGCAGTGCCGCTGAACTTCCCCACCTTGGATTCGTTCTTGTCGTCCTCGTCATCCTTGTCGGCCTTCTTGTTTTTGCTGCCCTTCGGGACCTCTGGCTCTTTTGAGCTGTCCGCCTCAGCGTCTGTGCTTGCCTCATCACACTTATAAGTCACCAGTGTTTCTTCTTTTTCTTCTTCATCCTTTTCATCCTTCATGTCGCTGGTTGTCTTGCTGTCTTCTGCTGCATTTGGGCTCTCTTCCTCATGATCCTCGTTCTCCATCTCCTCGCTGTCTTCCTCATCATGTTTTTCCTCCTGAACCTTCTTCTTGCTGCTCTTCGAATGTCTTGGCTCATCTTCCTCCTCAACCTTCTTCTTGCCTTTCTTGCCATCCTTCTGCTTCTCTTCTCTGTCTGCTCCATCTTCATCATCATCATCCTGCTTCTGGCGCTTCTTGGGTTCATGGGTCTTCTTCTCCGTCTTCTTGTCAGTGCCGCTGAACTTCCCCACCTTGGATTTGTTCTTGTCGCCATCATCGTCCTTGTCGGCCTTCTTGACCTTCTTGGCTTTGCTGCCAGTCGAAACCTTTCCTGTGGGGCCATCCTCATTGTCCTCCTCATGCTCCTTCACCTTCAGCTTCCTGCTCTTCGTCTTCTCTTCCTTCTTTGGCTCTTCATCCTCATCCTCTTCTTCCTCCTCAACCTTCTTCCTACCATCGTCCTCCTCATGATCCTTCACCTTCAGCTTCCTGCTCTTCGTCTTCTCTTCCTTCTTTGGCTCTTCATCCTCATCCTCTTCTTCCTCCTCAACCTTCTTCTTGCCTTTCTTGCCATCCTTCTGCTTCTCTTCTCTGTCTGCTCCATCTTCATCATCATCATCCTGCTTCTGGCGCTTCTTGGATTAATGGGTCTTCTTCCCCGTCTTCTTGTCAGTGCCGCTGAACTTCCCCACCTTGGATTTGTTCTTGTCGCCCTCATCGTCCTTGTCGGCCTTCTTGACCTTCTTGGTTTTGCTGCCAGTCGAAACCTTTCCTGTGGGGCCATCCTCATCATCCTCCTCAAGATCCTCCTTCGCCTTCAGCTTCCTGATCTTCATCTTCTCTTCCTTCTTTGGCTCTTCATCCTCATCCTCATCCTCTTCACCTGCACCTTCCTCCTCAACCTTCTTCTTGCCTTTCTTTGCAGCCTTTCGCTTCTCTTCTCGGTCTGGTTCATCTTCTTCATCACGATTCTTCTTGCCCTTTGCTGCTTTCTTGAAGTCACCCTCTAAGTTCTTTGGTTTGGTGGCCTGCTTTGTTTCATCTTCTGAGTCAGAAGGCCCCGGAAGCTCGTCTTCAATTTCTTCTTCGCTTTCCAGAGGGTTCTCAGACTCATCCCCTCCCTCTGTTGCTTTGCGAGGCTTCTTGCGGTTCGCTTTTGCCTTTGGTTTCTGCTCTTTGTTCTTGTCCTTGGCTGCTTTAGACTTCGCCGCTGTCCTTGCTGCAGGCTTTGCGGGAACATGTCCAAGAACTTGTCTGACTCCAATCTTTCCAGGCTCTTGGTTTTCCTCCTGCTTGTCCTTCTCTTCAACTTCTGCCCCCGGCTCCTCTGCTGGTGCACACAAGTTCTTTGTCTCTTTGTTCTCTGTCTCTTTGTTCTCTGTCTCCTTCTTTGGCCTTCCTCTTCTGATGTGTAAAACATCTTGAAGTTCCGCAGATAGCTCATCCACTTCCTTTGGTGATAGGGCAGGGTCGGACTTCCCAGAACTGAGAGATGATGACATTGGCAAAGGCTTTGGTTCTTCAGCCACTTCAGCTGGAGCCTTAGCCTTCGGTTCCAGCTTCAGATTCGTAAGATCCCCTCCAGCTCTTACATTGGGCTCTGAAAATGGGGTGGAAGACTCCGGCGGTGATGTAGATCTGACCTGGGTATGGATTCGGTTGAAGTGTAGCTACAAGAAATGGCAAAGTAAAAAAATGCAAAAATCACTTGAGCGATATGATATACATAACCGAATCAAACCTATGAAAAGCCTTGGAATGATATGAGAAACAAAGTTATAACAAGTGTCCGAAAGATCTGAGACATTATGTTATCAAAAGGCTTTGAAATGATGCGAGAAACGATGTGATGAAGAACAGGATTGCAGAAAGGAAGTGAATAACAGAAAGGACTGATTTGAGAAACAAAGTTCTGAAAACACTGAGAATGTGTCAGATGGGAAATGTGAGAAATCAACTTCCAAGAATCACTGGATTGGTCTGAAACAGTGCTTTGCTTTGGTTAAAAAAATTAAGCGCAGCACACGAGCTGGTGGGGTGTGATGGAGTGTAGGGTCAGATTCTGCCGCCTTGTCAAAGTCCTGGAAAAGGTTTCGGAGTCACAGTGTTTTTACAATGACATTTCGGAGTCACTGTTGAGTTTTGGAAAGCAAATTTGAAAACTTTCACAAACTGGCATTGGCTGTCATAGATCAAATTTGAAAATCCGTCCTGGCTAAAGCCGTGGTTGGCAAGAAGCTGATCTAGATTGACCATGGCCAGCGCTTCCAACGATCACACGCTGGGACGAAAAACTGATATTTACAGTTAGACGGTCACTAGCTTGATCCTGCACACTAGTCAAATGGATACTTTGAAATCTTGCCCATCGATGTGGCGTTGAATCAATCAATGATGATGCGAAGCATGGCAGGTACAGTATTTCAAACTTAAGTAATGCAGAGTGGCCCTGCCTGCTTTCCCTTCGCGTTTCATGGCAGCGATCTTCTCAGGCTTTTGAAACTTCGCAGACCCGTGCCCCAGCTGGAACTCCTTGATGGGCACAGCAACAGGAGTGTGCGCCACCTCAGAATCGAAACCGGTGTTGGGAAAGGAAGCCAAGCCAAATAATGTGGAGTTTGGGTCAAAAAGTGATGATTCTCGTGGCTTGCAATTTTTGGAATCTGAACAAAACAATTCATGACAGTGATTAAAGTAGGGCATCGGCAAGGAAGAGTTTGAACTCCTGCTTGTCATCAACAACTTCATAGATTTCCCCATTTCGTGCTTTCGCTTGCACTAAATAGAGGGTGGTTCCTGGGGTTCGGCCAGCAAATTTGTTCTCTACCACGTAAGTGGTGGTCAACTGGTCCAGATCTTTCGGTTCTTCCCAAAGAGGCATCGAGCTCAGGGTTTCTGGCAAGGTGTCAGGTGAAGACATCTCGGACGCCAGATGAGATTCAAACCTGAGATTCAAAAGGAACAAGGGGCAGTGGAAAGAAAACACACCACATAATCCATTATATAATATGATATAATATGTTGATAAGAAGGCAGTTTCTCCAAAAGACTGGAAAAATTAAAGGATTTGCTAGATTTGTTGAAGCCCAAAAACTTCTTGTCAAAGTCCGCCAGAAGCTCCCTCCAGTCCGGCCCATAGAGAACATCACTGTAGTAGAGGCCGCGAAAGCTTTGGGGCAAAGAGACTTTGTACTTAGCCCAACCAGACTTTCCGGGGACAATGTCGATTTTTGCCACTTGCAGTGGAAACTTGTTGATGTCAACGTTTGCGGCTGGCGTGCAAGACGGCTCATACTTGGGCATCGTCGAACCCATCAAATGGTTTCCACGTTTCCACTCCTGGTGCCAAATTGGAACATGAACATTAGGTCACAACGCCAAACACTAAAAGGTGGTTTTGAGTTTTGATGATGTTTTCATTTTCCTGGATTTCTAAACAGCTATTCAGCTATTCACTGGCATAGTTGATGTTTTTGAAAAGGTTGAACATAAACTAGAAGCTGACAAAATGATATACCAACAGTCCTCCATCAGCTTCAAGGCGATCGATCTTTGGCAATACTCGGTAATCTGCAAAGATTTGCTCAGGGAAAGAGCCGGCATGATCACCCCGGTGTTGTTCAGCGGCCACTGGTAAGCTGCCCACTCCATCCAAGAGTCATAGGGGCTCAAGTTTACCAACCCAATCGCAGCACGATCTGGCAGGGACACCTTTGTGAGCAAACTTGTCAACACCTGGTTCGGTACCTCCAAGCCAGCAAGGTACTGAGCACTTTCCTGGAAGATCGACATGGACCTGCCCAGGTTGGAGGTACGAGCGGCTGGCTTTGGGGGGAAGTTGAAGTTGGCTTTGATACAAACAGGTTCATTGAAACACCATCCATTAGCTACAAGTTCAAGAGTTTAAGATTTGATTTAAAGCTACAGCTACAAAACCCGCCCTTTTGGGATTTTTGTCCGGCCTGACTTCTGCAGAAGATGGGGTCATATCTTTGCCAGCTGCCGGAACCACGTAGTTGCTCTCGGGAAGCCAATTGATATTGGATCGCGTGCACCTACAGGGGGTCTAGTCAGAACATGATGCGCACTTCTTGATCAATCTTTTATACATAACACATGCATGTTTGTGCACAGCACCTGTTGGTCAGAAGTTGCGACGATCAAAACATGTTTGTTGTCAGCACTGAAAACGGAGGAACACTTTTTGATCAATTTTTAACCATGAGACATGCATGTTTGTGCACAGCACCTGTCGGTCAGAAGTTGGGAGGATCGAAACATGTTGTCAGCAATGCACTGCTCTTGCATGCAGACCCATGCCGGGAATTGGAGCGGCACATGTTTCTGGCCGGGAGCCGCAGCCATCCTCAGCATGATGAGCTCCGACTGAATCGAAAGTGCGTCGAGTTTATCCTCGATTCTCCTCACAAGGATTTCAAGGTGATTTTTGATTCCTGTTTGGTTGCAGCCAAGGGTGCAACTACAAACCCAAACCCAAGTACTTTAAACTGAACAAGGACAACATGAATCATGAATTCAACATGTTTTTAGTGAGAGCTGTCCTGATTTCCCCCCTCATGTTGTTCTGCACTTTTTCCGAGACCAAGTATGGCCCGATGACGACCGCCACCGTCTTTTGAGGCTTTTTCCCCAAAATTCTGGCAACCAGATCGCAGCAGTCATTCAGGTCGGTTCCTGTGACCTTTCCATATTTGGTGAAGTCAAGCCAGACAACGGTGCCGGCCCAAGATTCATGCTCAGCCAAATCGTTGATGAACTGGCAGGGGCACGGTAAAACCCAAGTGTTGAATTTGAAACAAATTCTCTCAACCCACTGGGAAGAAATTTCAGGGGACAGCAATGGACAGTATGTAACAATCTGTCTCAACGGCTTTCTGCTTTTCTACCGGAATGTACGCGGAATCACAATATGTGGGAACAGATTTGGGCATCAGATGCAAATGTTCATGATGAGCGAAGTAGGTCGGTTTGAACACCTTCAACAAGTAGTCTCATATTCTTCGGTGTCAGTGGACTGCTCAGTATGTGTTGCTTTCTTACACATGTTACAAGATATTACAAGATAAATCGAACTCGAGATTTTGAAACCAACCCGTCATGAGTCATAACCACACACATCAATAGCTTGACCCCGGTCTCAATTTCTTGGGGGTCAGTTTGGTCTGATCCTGCCTTGTCGGCAGCAGCCTCCAGCTCCCCCATCCGTCCAGCAACAAAGCGAAGGTTTAGGTCCATGAAGTGGTTGATGGAGCTGGCACCAAGTCGATTTTGATGTTTCAAGTGCAGCACTTTTTTCATTTTGTCACTCCGTTCACTTTTGACTTCTTCCTGGTACAAGCATCCCAGCTGGGCAACATCCCGTGTGAGCTTCAAGCAGTCCTGTTCATAAGCCATCCGTCTAGCATCTTTGGATAGCTCCTCCAACTTGTCGTCCACAGTTGCGAAGTGTTGGGCCGGAGCAGGTGCTTGAAAATGATCTTTCCTCATTGAGGTGCGGGGCAAAACTGGGCGACAATCGAGAGTTTATACGAAAATCACGATTCAATTTATAGTTAATTTTTGTTTCCGTCATGTTGAAGCAAATGACCAAAGTGTTGAAGGCATCAAAAACCTTAATAAGAAAAAAGCTGCACTCAAATCAAGAAAGAATCCAGAGGTCTGTATGATGGGCTTGGAAAAGAGGATCCTTCACAGTCAGAAGGGAGTTGAGCTCGTTCGTGTAGTCCCTGAAGGGTGGCTTTTAGTGGTTGCAATCAATGGATACTCATTGAAGTTGTAGGGCACCCTGGTGTCATAAAACAATCTAAACAAGCCAAGGCGCCCATCAACAGAACGCTTCACCACCTTCATTAGGATGTCTTGATCAAAGATAGCGTTGCCGTCGTGGTTGACTGCCAGCTTCATTTGCTCTTGAATGAAGAAAGCCAAGCACATGCGTTCGACTTCATGGTTCCATTCAGTCAACGTCAGGCGGCAGGAAGCGGCCCTACCACTTCGCTTGGAGGCACGGTCGTGGAGAAAGAAGATTCTTGCCATGAATAGACGCTGCTTCTTCTCATCGACTTGCAGGATGCTGTGCCACATTGGGTTGTCAACACCATCAGCAGTGCCAGATAGCAGCCACCGTGTCGATGTCAATGTTTGTGCGCTGAAGGCTGACAGGGTCCAAGCCAAGGACTGCAAACGGGAAGTGGGTGTTGGTACCAGCTGACATGATTCCCAACACCGTTATCATGATTTGAACTGAGAGGGATTTCAGCACCCCCCACCTGACTCTGCAAAGCGATACTTGTGCAAATGGGCTTCAAGTTCTCTCCAAACCTTTGCGCACACACCCACCTAGCACAGGGAAGCCGCTTCAACGCTTTTTGGTACAACATGTTTTCTGGAACACTGCTATTTGGTCTATTTATTAATGTCATTCAATGTCTATACTATTTGGTTTTTGGTTCAACGAAGCCAAGCCTTGAACCCGTACATTTGGGTCGCAATGGACTCATCGATTTGCCATTTTGCATTGTTCAATGCAGTGCCATAAGAGTTGTACTCTTGAACAGCTTGCATGAAAGCATCACGATCGTCAAGACTGGGATCCTGGAGCAATGGGTAATGAGGTTTTCACAGCGGATTGGGGGTTCACGGTTAGATTCAACAAACAGTCAAAACACAGAGTGAAGACATTAATTGAAGGATCAAAAGAAAACAATAAGTTTAAAGACGGGAAAAATTCGAAACTTCGTATCCAAACTTTGTATCCAAGAGTCCACCAACTTCAGCTCAACAGCGCGCTTGGAAAACACCAACGTTTTCTGCAGCGGGTTCTTTTTCTGCTTCTCAGTTTGCTGCTCATGGATCTGCATCCGTCGAAACTCCAGGGCATAAATGGGACCATCCATCAAGGTCACCCGGAAAGATGATAGTGAGCGCAACCACCTGGTCAAGACAATTGAACAAGGTTACAGATTTAGATGTGCAAGGCGATGTTTTGGGATTCAGTTAGGAGGTGAACTTTTCAATGATAGCCAGAAGGCGAGGTTTTCAGTATCTATCACAAGGCGAACCTCAAACGAAAAACATCACCTTTTGAGTGCATGTTGCTTGAACCCCTGTGTTACATGCACTATTGACTGCACATAGTTGCATGTTGGCCAATGGGTATCCAATGACCATATAGTTGCACTGATAGTTGCAATAATGTGCACATGATTAAATGCAACACCTTTATATCTTGAAAAATATTGCTAAGATAAGACGACCCTGGGCATGAAAGGTTCACCTTGTATCTGGCATCTTTGGGGTGAGATATAATATGATATGATAAGATTATGATGAGTTTAGTGCATTTTAGTGTTGGGGGACGATTAGAATAGCTCCCAACTCCACCTCCTTCACAATTTAAGCTTAAGGACAGCTTTGCCCAGCAGAGGCAATCAAGGACTGACAGTGCTGGGGAGGCGACCCTTTCATGGCCAGGTTCACCTTTAAGTTGGTTTTTAAAAATCAAGTTCAAGGCGATGCAAGTGACTTGCACCCTAGTATGCACACTAAGTTGCATTTTGGGTTAGTTGCACTTTGGGAGTGCCGGGGAAAGTAGTTTCACTGAAACCTAGTCGGCAATTTCTTGCACTGTGGTGCAAGATAACCCATTAGGCACCCAAGAATCTCGAAGCTAGGCTTAGTTGCAAATAGTTGCAACACATCGCATGGGCTTGGTTTCAGTGAATGTAGCTCAATTTTCTCTGTTGGCATGCATGCTAACTATGTTCATGGTATATTTGGCAGCTATTGATTTTTCAAGCGTCCGTGAAACTAGTCATGGCTAGCTGCAAGTTGTGTTCTGCATCACCAGTTTCAATTCGTCGGGTTCCAGGAACTAAGGATGTCATTTGATTAAACAAGTCCCCACTGCACAATTTTTATCCATTATTCCACCGGGTGTATCGCAGACTCTCATGGCATGGAGGGGAGCATATTGTGATTGGATGTGCTTACTATGATGCACTGTTCACATCACAACATCTTGAGATATGATGCGCTCACCAAGGCATGCAGGTGATCATATCATAACACACTTATCTTTACAGCTGCGGAACAAAGGAATTTACTGTAAATGTTTGGCATGGAAGAAGAAGATGATGATGATGATGACGACGATGATCCTGATGGTTCAAATTGGAACCTGTTAAGTGCATGTAGGCATGTCACCCCATCCACAGCCTTGCAAAGTCCTCAATCTCCTCATTGGATAGCTTCTCTTTCAAGTTGTGGAACGTGTAGAGGATAGCAAACAAGATGATACTTGATCGGCCAACGCCCTTTGTTGGTGTGAAGCATCCGTACTCCATCTGCTTTCCAAGACATGAACTGTCGAGACACCTTACTTCAATGGTTTCCCTCCACCCCTCGAAACCACCGTGGACAATGTCAGTGGCCGTGACCAGCCACTCTTGAAGAAGTGGCAGCCCATCTGACGGCTTGTGGAGCCATAGTGCCAGGACCGGCGGCTGCAGCATCTGAGCAGCGCCGGTTGCCTCAGCTGAAGGAAGGGGCCCCATGTTGACTAGCGGTTGTGAAAGTTGACTAGCAGTGACTAGCACAAGGGGAGGGAAGGAAAATCAAAGTTGACTAGTTCAAGACATGACTTCATGGTTGGGAAAATCACCCAAATGACTAGCAAGGCCTCATTGCCGAGCCAAGATACAGGAATGACCATAGTGGACAGGTCGGCGACGGTTCCAGGCAACACTTCGTTCAACCACACAGCCACTGCCTCGCCCAAAGCTCTGTTTTGCTTTCTGAGGATGAATTCCACCGGGTGTTGTCCTTGTTCTATGTCATAGGACCTGGCAGCAGGTGCAAGAGAGTGATGGGCGGAAAAGTATCAGGAAATGCTTTTTTGACATCTTTTGATAGTTCTAATCTCAATCTCAACATGATTTCATGTGATTTCAAACCAATTTCCAATACGCAAAGAGCATGTGGATTGTGAACGCATGTATGATACGTTTCCCAGCCTTGCTGCATCTAAGATTCGTTCAGCCCAAGGGTGAGCTTCTTCTTGTTTCACAGCTTTGCATGGACGCCGCGCAGCAGCGCCAGGCGGAGCACTCCTCTTTGACATTGCAGCAGGTGCAAGCTGAACCAGAGATGTCTGCAACGGTTGAAATGGGTATTGATTTGAATTCTGATCTTTCCCACGTTCCACAGTGAATTTTGGCCAAGGTTTTCAATGTAATCATCCTTTCCACTTCTTCAAAACGCTTTGAAGACATGAGTAGGTGAAGCGTTGAATCAGCTTTTCCAGCGAGAAGCACGCTCATCCAATCAGCTCCAATGAATTTGTGTGCCACACTTTCTTGCAATGACTTGCAATGATTGCATGCAGCGCCGAAGCCTGTACTTTGTGATTCGGGCACTCACACTAAATCTAATTTACCGCATCAAAAGCGGAATCATCTTCCAGGATTGTCAGGGGGACTTTGTTTCTTTGATACACTCCAATCCCAGCACACAGCACATAATGATGCATCCAACACAGGGAACATTCATTGCGTTGCCACTCATTCTAACCTTGTTTGACTCAGAAAGACCTTCCATCTTCAGCTTCGGCGTGCCAGACAACCTCGCCTGCAAAGATGTGGTGGGCAGCGTGTGGGAGGCCATCAGCTCATTTCCAGAAAGGAAGCGACCATGTTCCTGTCGAACAAGTGGTAGCATATGAGGACATCATTGAACTCTGAAGGTTTTCAAGATTTCAATATATTTCAAGTATTGTCATTACTTTACATTCAAGCGATGCTTGTTTTTGCAAAAACGGACCATCAAGGGTGGGAAGGAACTGTGGCTACAAGTTTAATAGATGTTGTATTCAAAGTTTATGCTGAACATTTCTTTCCTGATGTCTTTGAATGAAAGTCTTGTGTAAGCTTATATTTGAAGCGAATTGAACGACTGCACAATGGCCTTCGAGTATAGCTTGCCGGAATTTGTGGTCAATGTGCACAAAGCATTGTCTTTGGTCTCGCCCCGACCGCGATTGTTCCGAGCTAGCTGTGAAAGATCCACCACCTTCTTGTGCTTGTAGCGGGAGGAGTTCTGGTAGTCCTTCAGGTTCCGCTCCTGGGCGCACTCTGAGTGGATTTTGGAAGAAAGTGCTGCGCCTGGGACCCAGCATTATGAGCAAAATCAGGTTTCTACCATTTTAATCCTTTGACACATATTACATAATTTACATGGAGTCAATTGGAAGTATACACAGCAATGACACAGCGAGACAATATCAGCCATGGCTCATCACATTCAGAGAGATTTTGACGAGGCAGCTTTCTCCAGTAATAGTCGGTACAACCCAGAACCACTTGGGACGTCAGGGCATCCATGAACTCACCAACTGAAAACTTGGCCTTCCATTTCAACTTCGACTTGTGAATGGCCACGATGTAGATCCTTGAGCGGGCCACGCCTAAGCCCAGGATGCGAGGGTCCATCTTCACGGCCTTGATGTCAAAGCGAGGCCCGAGTGCAGCACGGACGATGTCGACACCATACTCCGGCACGTTCTCAATTATGTTCAGATCATGTGTGCATGCCACATTCTCAAAGTATGCTGTATGCGTGCAAAAATTAGGGTCATCCATTTGCCGCCGGCTTCCCATCATTGAGAAAGGGAAGCACACAGGGCCTCAGCAACAGCTTGTGAAACTCACAGAGATAAAGATCATAAAGGAACACATGATGTATCATGATGTGATGACATGTATGTGCACTGCGGCGAAACTCTTTCATTGATTGCGACACATGATGTATCATGATGTGATGACCATCTTCCATGAACTTGAACTAAGATCGCAGCCTGCAATGCACACCTTCAGTCCTCAGCCCCCGCAAGAAAGCAACAATTACTACTCTAGTGCAACAACAGCACGGTGACTCCAATCAATGAGCCTGAAGCACAAAGCTGCAGGGCTGTGGTAACAACAAAATTAACATTTAATCTAGCTAAGGGTCGGCCATGGCCAGTCTTTTGCAAAGGACAGATCTTGTTGTGGGCGGTGCAGAACGCTGACCCCTTTTTGCAATTGAGACTCATCACATCATTGAACAAACAATGCTTTCCATTTGTGATAGGCCCAAAGGTATCAAGCAAGACAGCTCTGCATGGCTTGTTGATTTCACATCCGGAGGCCAGCACAACCCTTGCCACATCGAACGTCACGCTAGCACGGCTCTCAGATCGAAGAAATTCTGCTGCAGCGGATTGGAGACTCAAAGCTGCCTAAGTACAGCGCTCTAAACATAGCCTCAATGTTTTCACATAACAGCTGATTTTGTGCATGGCTCACAGATTGATTCAGTGATTGATTGTATTGACTCATCTCTCTTGAATCCAAGCACTGGACGGTTTCGGCACAGCCAACACCGGAGAAGCATGTAGTCAGAAACCACCTCCAAGACTTCAGCCCTGCAGAAACAAAGCCTTTTCCAAATTTCTTAGTAGCACTCTGCAAAAACACGGTCGCCCATTTGAAAGTCGATTGGAACGTCTTGAACTGTGTAGGGTGCTCATCTGTTGCCATGGGCACATCGGTCTTTGGGTAGAATTTCCTGCAACAACATTTTCGAAACTGACAACTTGCAGATGGACTTCTCTCAGGATGATTTGTTTCCTTCGAAGTTATGGCCTGCCTCTTCAAAGTTGTTTTTTTGACAATCTTCTTGGAGCTCTTGCTCCTGAAACATTTGCGATTGACATGTTTGACCATCATGCTAGACTTGATTCTCAGATCACACTTCTCGGAATGGCAGAGATCAGCTCGAACTTGAAATGTACCAATTCAAATTGATATTAAATAGTGTATATTATAATATAACATGCATTTGTTGTAATATAAAATTTGTTTTATATTCGCTGCACATCTACTTTCTAATCATGCCATAGTATACTTAGTATATAATATGCTTAGCCCTTGCTTCAGCATGCCTGGAGGCATCAGAACGCTTCTCTTGATCTGGACCACGAAGTACTGCTCTCACAGCGTCTCGGAGGCAAACCATGCCTGGCCCTCAGCTAGTTGCCTGCTGTGCGATTGAACCAAATCTCTCGTGAATCACCGTTGAATCACCAGACAGCTGACAGACTCTGGCGCCACATCTTTTCCACAAACACTGAGTTTTTTTGCAAGTGCTGTTTCTAATGCAAATCATGTCCAAAAATGTCCAAAACAGTGAAAAGCTTCAGCTGGCATGTCAACGATGGCTTATCAACAAACAATCTGAGTTTGCATGAACTTGCTAATTTTCCAGTTTCTGCGCTCATCACAGCAATCTCGATTAATTGGCCATGTTTTGGCACCACCGACCGTCACTGAGATTCCACATCATAGTCAACAACATCACGACGGTTCTTGTCCTAGCCATAGCCAGAGGGACACAGCTGGGGAGAGTGAAAATCAAGGCCACATTGATTGAAAGGCTCAAGTTTCAGCAAAGTCCTCGGTCACTTGTAGGGTCTCTGTTCGCATGCCAAAGTTGGCAGCCTCAATCACAAGAACACGGACTAAGGAACATATCTATAATTCTAAGAAACGCATGATCGTGATTACAAGTAAACATGAGCCTCTCCAACAACAGCTGAAGATCCTGAAGTTGTAGCTCTCAAAAGGTTTGCCGCACCAACCTGCGGAAGAACAAGAAAGACCACTGATTTAACACATCATTGCTGCATGAATGTGGTAACAAGTAAACAACAGCTTGGCTGACAGCATTCGTGCATGATCGGGATGACAAGTAAACATACGCCTCTGCAACAGCAGCTGAAGATCCTGAAGTTGTAGCTCTCAAAAGGTTTGCCGCACCAACCTGCGGAAGAACAAGAAAGACCACTGATTTAACACATCACTGCTGCAATGAACATGGTTACTGGTTTGCTGACATCGTTGGTGCATGATCGTGATGACATGTAAGCATGAGCCTCTCCAGCAACATCTGAAGATCCTGAAGTTGTAGCTCTGAAACGGTTGGCCGCACCATCCTGCGGAAGAACAAACCACTGATTTAATACATCATTACTGCATGAATGTGGTAACAAGTAAACAACAGCTTGGCTGACATCATTCGTGCATGATCGGGATAACAAGTAAACATGCGCCTCTGCAACAGCAGCTGAAGATCCTGAAGTTGTCACAGCACGAGGTTCAACCTTGTCAGGTAGTCTAAGCGCAAAACTAAAATGTTGAAGTAGATGAATCGCAGAACAGAACAGTCCATGTGCTCAAAACGTTGAAGTAACAGCCTAGGTCTGGTGTTTGTGGTATGCATCCCATTGGATACCTTTACTGTAAATTATTATTTGAACCAGGATTCATGCAGTTTGCTTTGAATTCTGAAGCAACGACTTATGCAGGTGACTAGTGACAAATGCCGAGTTCAAGTGAATGAAAGAGTTCGAAGCAAAGCCTCCACCACAAGTTTTCTTCTCTTCGAAGGTCTCTGTAAAGGCACCTGTTCCGTGCATTTTGCACTTCTTTGTGCAATCACAAGCACCTGCGAGTCTCGGTTCCCAGGCCTGTGAGTCCTCATCTGGGTCCAGCTCTTGGCTGTCCTCAGACCATAGTGACCAAGTGTCCATTTCGAACCACTCAGGCAGAGTCACCTCAATCACCACCTGGCAAATAGCAACAGCAAGGGTCATTGAGGAACACTAGTTGACATGGACAGTTGATGTTCTTCAGCCATGGGCATAAGTCGAACTAGAAAGTCCCCCAAGCCTTGCCTTTTCAGCATCGGTGGAGCTGCCCATAGGTGGCTACAGCACCTGCGGAGTTGATCCGAGGCTGGTGTGTTCGTTGGGGCTAGCGCTTGCATATTTCATGTGTGGCTGGAGTTTCATGTTTTATTTCATCTGCTGCTTTTCTGGCTTACATGCCTATCCCAGAATTTCAGCAAATAGTGATATACATACACAGTATATAGCAGATATGTAGCATAACATGTAGTATGTGATGCTATAATATAAAAGGGGGTATAAAATGTTATAAACATATTATGATATGTTTGTGGTACTTTGTGTGTCTCTCTCTCTGCCGGTATATCTATTTTCATGCATAGATATAGTACGAAACTGACTCCTGAAACCTCTTCATATCATATGATGAGATGATTGAAAGACACAAATCCTGGCCTCAGCGGCAGGCAGAGACAGCAAAGCTGCAGGGAGCCAAAGGGCGTCAAACGTGTCGAAGATTTTGCACAATGACTTGAAACAGAAAGATAGTATACACTGTATTACACTCTAAGTCTCAGTTTCAAAGTGACACATGCTGCGACTTGTTGTGTTTCGGCAGATTTTCAAGGGTGATTTTCGGAAGGTGTGCATCACTCTCTCAAAACTGCGTTGAACCGCATCAATGGTGCGATCCTGCCCACAACATTTGGGGCAGTGAGGTCTACCAGCACTTGCTCAACAGGCGGCTGCTCAAACCAAGTCAGGCGAGGAACCGCCTGGGGGGCTTCATTCCGGCAGAGCTTTAAAATGAACCTGCAAGCCCTTGAAGTTGACTCGGATGGGAACTTCCGAAGAAGAATCTTGCCAATTTCAAGATAGTCCTGCTTCTTGCTCCTCACTGGAGCGTTCAGATCCCTGGGATCAGAAGGACAAGGTCCAAGCATGGCCAAGTATCGGTGAGGGAAGCAGAGTTGGGCTTCCTGCCACAAATCAACATGTGTTGTGAACAAGGCATGCATATGTAAGCTAACAAAATACGATCGTAACAGTGCACAAAGATGATTGTAAGCTAATGCAAGCTATGTGTGGTCCTGGCACATGTCTCGGTCTGCAGCATACCTCTTGACCAAGACAATGACATCTAGTGGGTGGATCTCTCCACCAGATCCACGCCCAGTCTCTGACACCACCACGTTGTGAGGTAGATCTGCCAGAAGTGAAATAAACAGGACAAGTAAACTGACATCATGATAAAAAATCCCGTGGACTGATTGGACATGACTGTATGAGTTGAATGACTGTATGAGTTGAATCATTGACCATGGCACCTCGTCTCAACATAAACATGAAGCTGTGAACGCCAGTGGAGTCATCCCGCAACCCCCCCTGGAAGGTGATGGGGGCTCTGCTGAGCCTGGGCCAAGCGATGAAAGGGATGTTTAGATGAGCCGGCACTAGGGAACGCATGTGTCATTCCTTTTTCCGGGCACTCAAACATGAATTCAGACGAAAGTCCAACTTTTCCAATCTCGGGTCCCCGAAATGTACTCGACTTCGATGGTGGCCTTTTCACCCAACCATCGCCTGATACCGATACGGTTGAGCACTTCACGAAGCTTCCTTGGCAACAAAACAAAACAAAAGCGATGAACAGCTATGGCAATTTGTTATTTGTTACTTGCTCGGATCAACTCAGGTCAGCTCAAGTCAACAGTGAAAAATTGTTTCCACGGTGCTAATAAAATGTCAAAGATGCTGGCACACATCATCTTCATCGCAGAGCAGATCAATATACCGAAAGGCAACTGCCAATAGCCCATATATTTGGTCTTAGTGATCAACATGTTTCAACATCATGGTGACATCAATCCTGTCATCAGTTGTTTGATCTAAGCTGTTTGAACAATGGTTGCCTGACATGCTCGTTTCAGCCGAATAGCCCAGCGGGCCATGTGTGTGCCCAACCCTTGCAAACAGCAACGCTGACACACGCATCTTGAGCGTGGCTGTGATGTAGCACATCCATTTCAACACAGAGTTGTTCTTGTTTTCTCTGGGACAGTTGTCAGCCTCAGGCAGCTCAATGTTGGAAATTGCTTGGGCTGAACTAGATTGTTTACCGAATTACCTGAACTTGATTGAACATGAAAATGTAGGTGGGATGTGTTGGCACTGCATTCCAGCAACCCAACATAGGAACTGATCAGGAGGCTGGGCACCATGTGCATGGCAGAGCGCGATGGCCTCTTCCACGGTTCGCGTGAGCGTCTCCAGGATGGTGGATGCATCAGCTGGGCAACGAGGGTCCAGAACCCAAAGCTTCAACATCACACCATGGATCCATACCCCTTGAACCTTGAAACGTGGGCGGGCTAGGTTGGACAGACTCTTGGGAACCACCGAGTTTCGATTTCTCGGTATGCTCCACTTAGCCTGATCCATACCGTCCTAGGAACAAACGTGAAAAGTTTCACGAAAAGTGCGACATTTCGGCCAATGTGCCAGCGAGCCGCAAGGATGATAAAATGCCGGGATAACTATCATTAAGGAGGATCATGATATATATCATGATCTGAATCAGTATTTATGCCAAGTAGAGCCAACACATTTTTTGCAGCTGTGGATCCATGTGGACACATAGAGGAGAAGGCTGCTGCAAAGGGCATTGGGCCTGCATACTCGGAAGGAAGCTAGCATGGTTCCATGGGCATGTTCTGGGCTGTAGGCATGATTGCACATACAGTGGGAGTGATGCCATAAAAAGCTTTGGACATCTTTGGACTATGGTTGAAAAAATCCAGCCTCCAACCACTCTTCCAATTCTTGATCTCGTTTAACACTGTCAACATGAAGTTTGTACTCCCGAGCCACGTCGAAAGCCATTTGTGGGTCCTCATGGGTAAGCATGTGTTTGGGTAATCCGTACAGTTCAGTGGTGGCAAACTTGAAATCATCAGATCTAAGACATCTTGGGTTGAACTTGAGCTTTGACAGCAAGACACCTTCGCCATCTTGAACAGTTCTTTGAATTCGAGGCAATCATCGCAAGCTGCATGGTTCGAAGGCGTGGTGAAGCGAAGTATTTTCGACCACCGGTTTCGGTACTGCCTCCAAAAGTGGATGTACCTAGGGCGGCTTGGATCTAAACAGCCATAAATAATTATTCACAGATCAAATTCTCTTCTGTGCACTACTTGATCTACTTGGTGCTCATTAGCAAGATACGACACTTTGGTAGAACGCTCTTCTCGAAACTGCATCCACAACATCTTGATGGAAGATGGTGCCAGGTATCTTGTAGGCAGAGCGCTCAGTGCAGTGGCGCCATTGCTCTCCACATACCTGGGCAAAACAACGGAAGAGGCAGGGTATGAACTGTACGTTGATCATGCAAATACAACTGTTGCATGGGTCATGTATGATTCCAATATGGCCTTCTTTGGCATTCTGAACGGCATTCTCTAATTCAGACCATTGTATGTTGATTGGGTATTAACATCGACAAGGAACTTGCAAAAGTATGAGTTAAGACCAAGGATATGTAGGCGGAGCTCTTCGTCATCTTCAAGAGTTTCCCCTGCAACATGCAGAGTGTCACCAGCCTCACTCTCTGACTCGCTGGATTCGCAGCCTTCAGGGCCATACTCAAAACCACTGAAACTCATGATGTGGAAACTCGATGAAACTTGCTAGTTGATTCGGAAAAAGTCTTGCCTGGGTCAGGCTGGCTACCTAAGTGCGCTGTCAGCTTTTCCTGCTGGGACCCCAGTGGCGAACTCCTTGAGTGAGCTGCTCTCTGAAACCTGTCAGTGCACATTTTACGAATGATGCAGGCAATATGCGAAACCATACAGCGTACATATATTATATAGAGAAGTATAAGTTGGTTTAAACATCATGTGTACATACAGCAATCAGTCAGTTCCAAGAATCACCTGCATGCATACACAGAGTAGTGCACTGTACATCATTATCAAGATAATCGAGACACTTCTGTGGAAGCATTCCGGCAGCTTTGATGTATAGATCAAGCAAGAAATGGTCCACCTCTTTCTGCTTTTTGGGGCATCGGTTCGAACCCTCGGTCAAACAGAGTGGCACGTTGTATCAAGCCTTACAGCTTAGAAAATCAGACACTTGCTCAAACCACAATAATGGCTACTAATGATGGTGTAAAACTAAAGTATTCTGCAACATATAATATACATATCAATGTCACAAGGTCGATTCGACATGTTGCGATGCTCTACCAGATCTACCAGAAGATTCAACTTGTCAAACAACATCAAACAACCAAGAAACCCCTCCCCACATACGATAGCGGCGGTCCATGCCACCAGAAAGGATCCGCCCCATGCGGGCATTTCCGATACCAATGACTGCGGCGACACACTTCGGGGACATTCTGCAGTCAAGAACATGCCAGATCCTCCGCACACGCTTGCCCTTGCAGGCAACTTCTTGGACCTGACGATGACAACTTGGAAGTACACACTTCATAATGTGTTAAATCACAGATCGGTGCCAGAACCGTACTTTGATGTACTTTGATCTCACACCATGCTTTGAAGAAACAGCAGCCGACCAATCTTAGCCGCATCAGTATCATCAGTTGAGCCCCCGACATACAAGTCTTGAAGTGGTCTGGTCAATGTCCAAAAGTTTCGCACAAACGCAGACACGCTCTCTAACTTGCGGTCTAGTTTACTAAAGCAGCAGCGTCTGTGGCAGCGACAATGACTGCGATGTTTCAAGTATTCCAAACGAGATGGGTCCCCACCCTTTGCACTTTGCCTGCGAGCGAACGGTTCCAACAAAGTGCTTGTTTGGGACATGAAAATTATGAAAACTATGCAACTGATTGAGTTTTGAGCTACCTTCCTAGTTGCTGACTAGTTGCTCGGAATGCTGTCTGCCTTTTGCTAAAAGTCTTCGCTGCTGATTGTTGTAATTAGGCCGTTTGTGATGGCCCAAGCTCACATCCCCGGGCACCTTCTCGAAGCCACAGCCCACCACAGCATGAGTGTGATGAGAGCGCTGAAAATCAAGCAAGCTCTCAAGGGTAAAGTTGACTTTCAGCAAGTCCGAAGTTCCACTTTTGGTTTGGCCATCATGTGATTTGAAGTTCAGTGACCTAAAGAAAGAACGTGTGCTAGATTGGCCAAGGGCACCACCTCCATTTGCAGCACTCCCTTCTGTGGAAGGAGCTGATGATCTCGCTGATCGGGAGGATTTCTCTGACAGGGCCAATGATCTCGATGATAGCCCTCTGAAAAACCTGAAGCCAACATAAACCAACATCGCTCGAAATCAGAACTGGAACTTTGTTCGGTGGAAATAAAAAACGAAATTGAAACCTCAGATCAAAGGCAGGACCCCTATTCATACCTGTGTTGTTGACCTTTCAAATTCTTCACATGATTGGACTTGATTTTCAAAACCGTGTTTGTTCCAAATCACTGACGTCGCTGCTCCATTTTCAGAAGGACGGCCACGGACCTCACAGGAAAAAGTTGAAAGACTGGCCACCACCGCCCATGAACATCTGAGGCTCAGTCGTCAGCTTTTGCAACTGGTGCCCTTGAGGCGTGCCCTGAAATGGAAGAGACTGATTCAGGAGTAGTTATATAGCTGAAAAGGTTGCAGGCTAAGATGGCTAAGAAGTAGCTGTCCTCCAAGAGGCTAGAAGGTACAGCAATGCCTGGAGAATGAAGAATGCTGAACACCCCGTCAAGCTGTACAAGTAAAAAACCATCAAATGACCACCAGAGCCATCTCATCACCACCTTGCCTTTGCCAGGATCATGCCTGAGCTGAGCTACGTGAACTGGGTGGCTTTGCGAAACAAGTGCTTGAGCAATCACAGCAATACGATTGCATCACTGAAACGACATATGAATGTATGGTTCTGAGATCCACACAGTGAAAATTCGTGTTGCAGCAATGGCAGCAGCAATCAATGGCAGATAATGGCAGTAATGGGAATGGAAAAGTCAAATTGAAAGCATTTGCGGAAACACTTCTCCGACCAAATGAAACACTGGACGAAGCAGTGCGAAATACGTGCTGAAGCAGCTTGCAACCTATGTTCGACAAGTTTACATTTTACAAACTGCAGTTGAAACTTCAATCAACATGTTTTAAGACATTGTTTTGTTTTTCACGGATTGTGTGAGCAGCTTCTCTGACACCTCTTGCGTGAATTGACTGAAGATGTCGAATAAGCCAATGAGCTTCTGCAACAAGGTTTTCGGCCATGTTGGCTGGAACACAAACAACTAAATATAAATCGTGGCAAAAATACAAGCAAATGCTGTAAGTATATATAATAATAGCTATTAGATGAATGTGCCACGCAGCTCTATATATCTATCATATATCTTTGGAAGAGGAAAGTGCTGAGAACCTGTTGCACCAATTTGCACCAGTGCTTTGCTTGACTTGGAGCTCGACCGCGCCACTCTTCTGAGCTGAAAAGTCGGCCCGCCAAGACTTTCCAGGGGGGAGACATTGAATGAATGAATCATAAAGATGTCACTGTCAACACAAGCTGAAAACCAGAACCACGGTGAATTGCTGGTGCACAACGTCATGCCATCACAATGCCAGCATATATGGTTTCAAAATATCACCTCAATATGCTTTTGAAATCGTGACTGGGTGTAATCGTTAAAATCAGAAGCAAACGCAGCTATAAAGTATGAGGAACTTCGAACACACTGGGGAGATGACTCTGTGGCTAAGTTCTGCCAGCAACCCCCAACACCAGCCTGAGCAGAAAGTAGCTCAGAACCTGCTTTGAAGTCTGAAGCTGATACAACAACTGAGACATAGACCAACTCCGAGTGCTGCCACTACCTGGCAAATGTCAAAATTGCTAAGGGTGCACAAGGGGGTGAATCGTGGTCCATCAATAAGTTTACGATCATCAAACTCAAACAGCCACTGGCCGGACCTCTCAGCTGGAGTGGCCAATGATCTGGCAAAGAAACCTCCAAGATGAGAGAACCCCAGCCGGGAGATATGGGAAAGATTATTGCAGATATTTGCAGATGGCAGAAAAATCAATCAATTAATATCCTGTGCCTTGTAGTGGGATAATCAGTGAAAAGGCACGTGTTTGATCCAGAAGGCAGGGCTGCAAAGGGGCGGGCACCAACAAACCCGAAGAATTCTGAGACCCAATTGAAATGTAATGACACCTGAATGCAACGAAAAGCCCTTATATATATAATTGAAACGGATTGCCCGGTCAACTGCTTTCACTCAAATCAGTTTGGCTCAGCCATCATTGAATGCACTGCCAATGCCGTGAATAGTTAAAGACAATGAGCAGTTTGAACATGCAGAAAGTCTGGGCAGTCGGACAGTGATTTCAAGCTGGCTGGAATCTGTTGAGAAGCAAGGTACTCGAACCTCATCTGAAAGACTGTGCCTTTTACTTTGGGTGTTGCCTCTGTTGATCCAGCAGGAATCTCCCAATCCAAATCCATCAGAACGTCCCTTGGAAGGTCCAACGTGTCAAGGTCCCAATTAATCAGGGCACAAGAGTAAACACACCCAGGGAATGTTGCGCAAACATCTACTATCACCTATTATGTAATCAACTAAAATAGCATCAGTGGGATTGATGGGCAAGCGTTCATTATTGTACAATTCAGCATCCAGCCCTTCTTTCCCGTCCAAAGAATCCAAAAGAAGAATCCCAAGCTTAGCAAATCACGGACCAATCAGCAGACTTCGATACACCTCGCATACAGTAGTGCATCTTGCGGAAATCTGTATTTGACCTTGAGGTTCTAACCATATCATGCAACAGTGCTAGCATGATCTCATATGCACGATGAAGCAAGCAAAATCACGCTGGTTTTATGCACACACTTCTGAACAGATCTAAGCATCCACAGTCTAGCCCAATCACACCTCTGCCACAGTAGGCACCACCTGACGCTTCCGGCAAGCCCCCCTTCAGTATTGAAAACCAAGTGCTTGAATGAACCAAAAGACACTTGTTGTAGTGAGTTTGATATAAATATCATTCAATCCTGCCTCGCCCCGGCTCGGGTTGTTTGGCGCCTCAGCTATCCAGATCTGGAGCCATACAAATGGCACAGGCCCAACAGTAAGGTGGTAAACCCACAAATGAACAGAATAAACCATCCCCAATTTATCCAAAATGGGGGACATCAACAGATTAAACAGAAAGCACCATCCCCAAAGGGGGATGATTTTTAGATTTACCACATTTTACTACATTAAGAAAACAAATCCATGGGAACCCCTGCTGACACCACCAGGAGCATCGACAGGCTGTGAATAAGGCGAGGCCTCGACCAAGCTGCCGCTGATCATCTCTGGGATTTGTGAATGTTCACATCCCCACCCCAAACAAATCGTTTTTTGTCTTTTGATCCATCCTCATTTAGGTTCATGTGGGTCTATAAATAGGTAGGCTACACCAAAGTTCCATGATTTTTCATGGTTTAAGTCATCATTTCCCCATAAAAATAGCATAAAATAACCATATATTGGGTAATGAAAAATGCTAAGGTACAACCAACAGCAGTGGCATAAGCTCTGGACAATGCCGTTCCTCTTGGCAGCTGCCTTTCCACCATGATGCCCTGCACATCGGCAATGTGGCAATGATTGTGGGGGGTTTCAACTATCAATCAAATACGTATACATACATATAATACACCTATACACCTTGTTGGTGGTTTGAGCCCCTCTGAAAAATATGTGTCAATGGGAAGGATTATCTCATCTATTATGGAAAAAATGTTCCAAACCACCAACCAGACACATAGGTATCATTGATCTAAAACATGCCGTGCACTGCCATAAACAACTCCCATTTGGGGATGCTTGGTACCTGGCCTGCGCCTGCTTCTGCAGCTCGAGCAGCTCTGGGGCCATGTCCCCTTTGGCCGTCCCGGGGTCACCCCACAGCAGCACATTGCGGATGAACCTGGGACGTTGCTGGTAGCGAAACCATGGTGCCATAGTGGTGGTAAGCTGACCATTAAACACTGAAAAATGGAGCCAAAAGCATCGAAAGCATCTCATCCTGTCGGGTCGACCATTCAAGAGATGGCAACTGCCCAAAAAGGATGCCCTGAAATGGTGTGCTGTAGGAACCAATGGATCGAGGCACCCCATCTGGGTTTGTCTGAACATTTTGGCTACTCTCAATTCCAACAAATGATCATCGTTTTTTTTGGACAATTCCATTGTGGTTCCTGGGTGTTTCCAAAAATTAGGTACCTCCCAAGTCACCATTTGACCATGAACTTGGATAACTTGGAGTCCCCCATTTCAAGAACCCCTCATTTATTGTGAGGTGGTAAACCAGATGTAAACCCTATATCAATTTTTGCCAACCATGGAACATATCAATGGATACGGCTCTGGATCAATACATATCACTAGCATTTTTTGGGATGCACATACAAAAATCCCAGCTATTTTTCTGAGAACAACAGGGGTTTCCATGGGTTTTGAACCATCCCAATATTGAAAAAGGAATTCGTTTCTTTTCTTAGGTCCCAACCGCAGCATGGCAGTAATGGTCCTGGCCATCTGGGCCCGACAAAAAGTAGAGTACCCCATTCCATCCACGGTTTCGCATCATTCTTCGTTTCACTTTCATGGCCCATATCTTGGGGCTGAACCCCTCATCTTTTGAACAGCACATCTCATAAAACGAATGTGTTAAGCATCCCCCTAAAAAAATAGTCTCAAATGCGCGTAAATCCCAGGATAAAAACTGGTTTCTGGGGGGTCTTTACTATTGGGGGGATGGGGATGGGATTATATATAAACCATCCCATGGTATTATATATTAACCATCCCATAAATTCAGGGATATATATGGATATGTACATATATATATGTATATATATATATATACTCCGAGGGTACATGCCCGAGAAGCTTGCTTTACCACTTATTTGAGGCTCCGGTTTTGGGGCCTTGGGCCCACCTAGGCTTTGAGAAAAAATGCCCCCTGCCTTAATAAAAAACCCACCAAGACATGAGGTACGAATCGGAATGGCTTGGATGTGAAACTACTAAGCATATCGCGAAAAACTACTAAAGTACGAGTTGCGTATCACAATGGCTTGGATGCAAAATTACTAAGGAGTTCATGAAAAACTGAAAAACTACTAAGGCGTGAGTTGGAAATCACAATGGCTCGGAGGCAAAACTACTAAGAATGTCCCTCAAAATTCAAGAAGAGAAGATTATTCTTTGCAACGTTTTCTTAGTTTTGCGGCCGAGCCAATACGAATTGCGAAATGGTCCTTAGTAGCTTTTGAGCGCGTTCTTAGTAGCTCTGCGGCCAAGCCAATACGAAACGCGACACCGTGCAGTAGCTTTTGAGCACATTCTTAAATAGTTTTGCGGCCAGCCCAGTACGAATTGCTAATTATTTAACGCTGCTTCCGCGTGATGTATGTGGATATGCGCACGCAAATACGGCCCCGCTCCCCAGGAATCAACGTTGCCACTCACAAAAACCAGTTGCTGCCTTTTCTGGTGTAGCTGCTTTGCGAAGCGCGGGAGTAAGTCAACTTTGATGTCTGGGGGTGCGGGGGTTGCGCCCAGGGTCCTGTACACTGCCGCTGGCTGTACACATGTCTTGCGTTGCTTGTGGCAGTCAAAGTTCAACCTCGCATGCTTGCTGCAGAACACCCCATTTTTGGCTGTGGGCCTGCATGCTTTTTGCCTTCCTTCACTGCGTGCCCTGCATGTGAAACCAGCATCCTGGCACCAAGCGCAAGAAAACATGAATGAAAGATGCAACCTGTCGCAGCTCAGCGCGCTCTTTGCAGAAGGCCAAACGCATATATCATGGGCCCAAAATTGGGGTCACAAATTTGGAAGCTGGGCTATTAATTTTAGTATTGTGGCCCCATTTCTGGGTCCAGAATCTGGCCCCTGCTTTGGGGCCACAAAACACAAACAGGAGCTATTCAATACGGGCAGCAAGTGTGCTACTGCCACCGCAATCTGACAGCAGCACATATCCGTGATACTGTGTATATAATATAATATATATATATATATATTGATATTGATATATGCTATACCATGCTATACCCATCCCATACAGCCCAAACGGCTCGTGGGAAGCACCTCTCGTACATGGCCTGACCTTCCTCGGTGAGTCTCGGTAGCACCTCCCGCGCTGAGCATCCATCAGCACTTGGATGCTTCGAGGATAAGGATGGAAATGATCATCAACACTACAAAAGAGCTTCTTTGGAGATGTTTAGGAAATTTTAGGTGGTGATCATTTCAACACCCTATCTATCCTATCTATCCTATCCTATCCTATCGAATCCTATCCATCCAATCATCCATCCATTCATCCATCCATCCATCCACCTACCTCTTTCCCATCCAATCATCATCTGCTCCCACCATCCCAAGTCATCACCTTTGTCTCACACCATTCGGAAGGCTTAACATGTGGGGTTGTCTGGTCCTTTAATAGTTTCAGACTTTTTTAACCCGGAAATGTACAGTCTATTAACCTCATTGCATCGCCCACATTATGAGCTTCGTTTTCAGTTGGAAGACACTGTGTCCAGCAATGCAGATTTCTCCGAAGTTGGGTGCATGACTCCTAGTGTGAAAAAGGACAAAGTGAACAATGGCACTTTGACTTCCAATGTGCCCCCAAACAAACAATCTTATATTCCGAACAAAATCTTCTAACCATTTCCATATCCATCCCGCCATGAGTGGTAGACACCACACCTCAATGGTGCAATCCAGGACTTCAGGCATCCATTGAGTTGATTTGATGGCCAGCAAGGAAAGATTCCAATGCCTGGCCGAGGGAAGAGCCGGATAAACTGAAAGCAGTTGAAAGTGTCCTACATCAAGCTGGATCATAGTTGAAATCCAATTATTCAATATATATATATACACACATAATTATATATATATATACATAATTATATATATATATATACATAATTATATATATATAGATCTCTACCTTTGATCAAAACATATTTGTAAAATTTGCCTCACTATTTTCACCATCACCATCTCACAAAGCATCCAAATCATCCGATCCTGACGGCTTCGGCCATCATCTCATAGGCTGCTCCGCTGATTGGAGGCCTCCGTGGTGGACTGGTGGACACCAATGGGATTTGTTGAAGGGAACAAGTACTCGAAACTCAAAACCATGGTCTTACAAACGTCTTATCAGCCAAGAATCTATAGATATATATATATTATATATATGTATAGATTGTATGTCTGGGACTGAAAATGGTGAACCCCCATCCAATCATATGGAAACATATGGAAATCATGATCAATATTTTGAGACACAAGCTCTTGACCAGTCAAAATCAGGAGGTCATTACCCATGTTCTTTTTTCTCCATGTCGCCTCTCATAAATCCGCGAAACTTCTTTTCTATGTGTTGTAGTTTCAACCCATCCCAAAAACAGGAGTCCACTAGGTACCATGATCTCAGGTAGGATGGAACATCAAAAGCAGGGTTAGATGGATGAACATCCGCATTGCTGGGTTGATCTCCCTGTAGATCAAGAAAGATCTGATACCCCAGCCACTTATCTAAGTTATATCAATAGCCCCATGTCGTGGCAGTGAATTTTCTCGTTTTGTTGCTACCCTTCTGTTCTTCAACAGGTCTTCGCCCATCCCCGAAGGCCGATTTGTGCTTCACCGAGGCTCCTGGTCCCCATCTATAATTGGTGGGTTAGATAGCATTACATAGCCTTCTATAGGTGGGATTTGTTGATATGATTTTTATGTTTATATTGGGATTTAACATGATTTAACCAGCCAATAAGAAACCATCCCATCCCATTTTTAGAAGCTATACTTTTAGATGCAATAATTATCCATAGTATTCCATAGTCATCCCCAATGCACCAGCTCATAAAACCCACTCGAATCACCAAGTCACAGGGGCATTTTCTTGGGGTTGGTTAAATCCGAATAAACAACAAACACACACACACACATATATATATTCTCGCATACATATATGCATATGTATTTATATATACAATATAACATCACATGAAACGGAAATCACCATATATAGTATATATAGTTTATTAACTCAGTAAAACAACAGCATATCACAACATCTATTTTTAATGGTTGCTCTAAAACTGCCATCCCTCCAGCCAGTTCCTCTGAGGTTCCGGACGCAATCGCGCTAGCGGCTGCATGAACGCCACCAGAAGCCGTGGCTGCGGTGAGGGTTCGAGCAACTGGGGCTATGAAAAGGCCTGGCGACTGCCAGAGCGACAAACATGGGGATTCAACCACCAAACATCATCAACTACTCTCTGGTAATTCAACATAGCTACTGAAAATACCCCATTTATAGTTGATTTTCAACATGGTGATTTTCGATAGCTATGTGAGTTTACCTCCTGACAAGAACCTCTACAAAATCCTCATACCAGGACCTCTGAGAGAATCTCACAAGATCGTCATAGACGGACCTTCTAGACGAGCTTACAAGATCTATCTATTTGCAAGAAGCTCCTCCTCAGAGCACCCCACAAAGGCTTTCACACAAACCCCTCCTACGGGGCATCTTTGAGAGCTTCATGCAATGACCTATCAAAGGATTTCACCATGATCTCCAAAACTCTTCTCACAAAGACCTCTACAAGATCTTACTCAAAAAACTAAAGTGAGCACCGCCCCACAACGAGATTGATCCCGCCCGCGCAAAATAATGATAGGGTTGCATGAGCATATGTTAGAATCTCAGAAAGTATTGCGCGCGCCACGACAAGTGAAAATTGGAAATGAGGATAGCCTGGTTTCAATCACTTTTTCATCGAGGTCAGGTCTCTAAAGCACCGCACCTGCCACCATGAGCCTGAGGCATCAACGTATTTCACTTGCCACGCTAAATGATCACCAAGTATCAAATCCAAGTGGCGACAGTCTCCCAAAGGCTTTGGAAACATCGTCCAAGTTTTGCCACGAAAAATGGTGTTTTTGGCCCACGCCTGCCAACGTTTTAGCAACGTGCGCGAGGTACTGCCCCGGCCACGCGGATGAAAATGTGTCCGATGTCCTGCGCCAGCCACGCAAACGAGGTTCTGGCCCTCCAAGTGCCGAATCTCTTCCGCTTGCCATGAGACAATAAGACATGAGCGAAGTCAGCCAAGTGTCACCCACATCTTGTGTGAGCTGGCGCAAGCAAAACCCTAAGGCCAGCGACAACCCTGAATGACCCCGGGCTTTACTCCTACCGGAAGAACCCCTCAGTTTGGACACGCTGTTTGAGGAATGAGAATCCCAGCGAAGCAAATTAACAGAATCTGACAAGAATCCACAAGATCTTCATACCAGGATCTCAAAGAGAATGCCACAGGATCGCCAAAGAAGGACCTTCTAGCTTGTTTGGGTTCTACTTGTCTGGAAATATGTAAACGATTGTAAACGATTGTAAACGTATCTTGTCTATGGTGCTCGCAACACTATATATTTATACCCTCATGTATATGCAGTTGAATAAGAATATCTGTGTACTCAAATATGCATACAACTACTGTATACAATACGGATGTCCATTGTGTACCGCCCATTCGCTGTATCAGTGGGCACCAGACGGGCACCAGAAAAAGTGAAAAAACGAGGCTCCATTTCCAAGAAGACCGTGGTGATTTAACGCACAAATCTTCAAGACTGACGCAATGACAGACTCAATACATCAACTCGTCAAAAACACTTTGGCAACCCACACAAGAAATAGCAAACCACGCAAAAAACACCAGAAAAAACACGAACAACAGCACAAGCAACCCCCCCAAAAAAAAGGACGCGAAAAGGCACCAGCAAACCAGAAAAAACACAAGAAAAAACATGAAAAAAAACACGAGGAAAAGCACCAGAAAAAGCACCAGAAAAAGCACGAAAAAAAGTACGAGAAAAAACACGAGAAACAGCACCAGAAAAAACACGAGAAAAAACACGAGAAAATCCACCAGAAAAAGCACGAGAAAAAGCACGAGAAAAAGCACGAGAAAAAACACCAGAAAAAACACGAGAAGCACCACGAGAAAAAACAAATCTGAATCCTTGAAAACAACATAGTTTCTTCCCACGTCCATAGACAAAAGTGCGGCAGAATACTGCACTTCTTCAAGTTGTCACACAACTATGTTGATTTCAATCACAATCTTTTTACGAAGAATTATCTAAACACGAGATTCAGTCTTCCTTGCAATCCCTCAGCCACCGTTGAATTCAGTATTGTAAATCCAATAGAGCGGATTATTGCGCAGCTTTCTTCATTTAAAGCGGTATGGGTGCCCGAAAGATAAAATCAACACTTTCCCTACAATCATCCTTATGAGTAACATAGAAATCGAACCTTCGAGCCTGCCTCGCCTTAACAAAGTTTCAGATTACTGCTGCCCAAAAATGGGCACCCACACACACAGATATTCCAAAAGGAATCAACATGGAATCGAACTGACAGCAAATATGGATAAATATGGGTGTGCTATAGTAATTTCTAGGGTGTGGCCAAGATGCGCCGTATACCAACCGTATACCGTATACAGCAAATATGGTGGTGCAATGCTTTGTTTTCAACAGGGTGTGGCCGGTGCGAAGTATTTCCAATGGTTTTCCACGGACTTGTCTCATCTTTTCAACTGGTTTTCCAATAGCTTTCCAAGGATTTCCAGGGTTTTCCGCATAGTTATTTAGTTGTTTTCAAATGGTTTTTCAGGGTTTCCAATGGTTTTTCCATGGTTTTCCAGGACTTTTCAATAGGTTTCTAGTGGATTCCCCAATAGTTTCCCGGTTTTCAGGGCTTTTGCAATTCTTTTCCAAGGGTTTTTGAAGGATCTTCCAAAGTTTTTTCCAAGGGTTTTCTTTTCCAATGGTTTTTCCATGGCTTTTTCCAATGGTTTTTGCAGCCTCGGCCCAGCGTTCCAAAAACGTGGGGCCTGTGAGGTCCACTAAAACGGCATCCATCTGATTCTCGGCATTTGAGGCGAAGAAACCAATGGCCGATCTCACGAGGCCTCAAGAAAAATGCCAAAGACTTGGGGCTATGGGGATATCAATGGGAATTAAACATGGTTAATATCTATTATGTATATATATATTATATATCTATATATTATATATATGTATATTATATATGTATATTATCATATGTATATTATATATGTATGTATGTATATATATATATATATTCACACCTAATTATACCTATATATTGGTTAATGAAATGGTTGATAATCACTGGATAATATGTGGGAACCCAAATGCCATAAACCTACCATTTTAGGGGATGGTTTATAGCACCCATGGAAATGGTGATTTTGGGGATGGCTCATTGTTGGGTTTACCACATTAGATGATATTTGGCTATATTTGGGGTGTGTGGAAATCGGGTATAGTAGTATAGTATGGTATAGTGTACCCCATATATCCCCACATTTATGGCTCTTTAACAGGGACAATGATGATAAAACAGAGGATGGAATGGGGTAGAGATGGGTAGAGTATTTTCAGACAACCCCACATATGTCGGAGGTGAGGTATGTCACATGTGTGTCTGCGAGTGCCATGTATTGTGAGATGCACAACGAATGCCACGGGCAGCTGCCAAGCGGTGGGTCTGTGCACACCCAACAACTTCATACTGCTTTCTCCAGCGATAAATCCAAAGTCAACAAAAACCATAGGTAGGTAAATTAGTTTGTACACATAATGATGTGGTAAAGCCAACTATAAAACCATCATCGATCAAATATATAAGCTAATGATGAACACCTTATATGTGACACCAATCTCCATGGTTGAAGCGAGAATCTACATGACACCACCATTCCTTGTTGTAAAACATGGTATTTACCAATGGTTGACCGAGCTTAAATTCCCTTATGCCAACCCAATGACCGATTCACTGAGGTTGAAACTCATGTAGTATGGCTGCGGGTGTTGCTCACAGCCTGTAGGCAAATGATGGGATTTCCGACCCCGTTATCGAACCATACTGATATGCAGAGCACATGGCTGGATGATGGTTCACCATGGTTCACCCCACCCCAGACAGTTCATTAGTGAGTTGGGCATCATCGGCACACATCATTCTAGCTAAGGATGGAACAACAGACCACTTAAACCACCAATCAGTCATATATTTCCCATCAATTTCACTACTGTACTGGTATGGAATATGATAGAACGATATTCTTTAACACTCTTGGAACATTTGAAACCACCGACCAACAATAAAGCCGTGGCATCATCTCAGACCATGATTTTTACTGGTCTGAGAGCATCACATCTGGCCATCAACTTCATCATCGGCACAAAGACTTTTGACATGGGTGCGTACCTCGAAGCAACAAACCGCCAATTACCGTATTTGCCCACTGACATGGGCACGACTTGAAGTGGACATGGACTGTGACAAGCCCCTCGAACGTGAACGTGTTGTTAGTGTCTTTGATCTCCAAGAGCCCGCAACTCCACTGTGCCACTGTCGAGTTGACACTTTCCATCCCTTTCCATTCACTGAGAACTCCACTCTCTGGAGAAACCCAAGATGTAGCCTAGGACATCTGCGCCCCCGAGGCCTCCAATCCCAGTGAAAGGGGGATCATGGGCCTGTACCCTTCTCCCTGAAATCATCCTTAAAGTAAGAAACCATCATATTAAGGTCCCAAGTTAATATCCAAGTTATCGGCAATGTTTAAGATTCGGAAACCAATGGCGACTTGGAGTTCCCCCATTTTAAGAAAGCCACACGAATGCATCAAAGTCGCTGAATGCTAAACAGACTTGCTCCATAAGTTCCTGACGAGAAACCGACCGGTATAATCTGGCTGATGGGATTTATGGTGGACATATGATACATCTAGAGTATTCCATACTTAGATGGCATTATAAACCAACAAACCTGTGGTATATCATGGGATAACCATATTCTCTGGCTGACGACTTTAATGATTTATATACTAACCTGAAATAAGGTCAATGGGGGCTAGTACCAGTAACCCTTGCTAGCCATCATTCATAGTGACGTCGCAGTGAGGACATTGTAGTTCACCCACATAATATATGTATATATATATATGTACATACATAAATATGATCATACAGTTCTTGATTGTTTTTCATTTTGGCCTTTTCAATTTGATATGACAAACTTTGAGTCAAACAGGTTACTTTTTAAAAAGGTTCCAATCAGAAGCAATTTGTTCAAACCCCCAAAGTGACAGAGAAACACTGTGTTCTCAATCCAAAATCTCGTGGACTATCATCATTTTCTCGATTGAATCTTTCATGGCCATCCCGGCCATCCCTATTCTTAATGACACCGGGGTTTGCCCAAATCGCTCTAAAGCCGGGCTGGTCCTCATAGTGGGTGTGATGGATGCACACCTGGAGCTTCAGCTGGGTCCCAGTGGTTCCCCAACGGTTTTTTTCGGTGCTGGAATCACTTGGGGTCCCAACTCGCTCAATGGTTGCGAAATGTTTCTCCACCACACCCAGCACTGGGTGATGATCTGCTGGTAGCAAGGTTGGATCCTTGGCCACGTGCCGTGTTGATCGTGTTGTACATGATCCTTCAAGTGGTGGCAACTTCTGTCTAGCAAGAAATGCTTCTAATAGCCACACCTTCACCAAACTTCGAGAAAAAACAATGTAACACTTGTCCGAATCAGGACCATCAAAATCTGGCCATCAAAATCTACTATCCCAGCCATTGCCCAATCGTTGTTTCAGTTCCACAGTTTTCACAGTGTCGAGTGCCCTGCTCTTGCTGGCATGTTGTAAACGCTGGAAACCTCATACCGCGACTTGAATCTTCGTCTGGCCTACTGTGAGCACCAACAAGTCCTCAAGGAATGCAACATCATATAACATCAAGTAAATAGACGAAACATGTGTGAACTCACAAGTCTTTTCACTGCGACTGTATGTGCAGGATGTCACTTGGGATGATCGTTGGTCATGTCTTGCCGCTTATGATTATAGAGCTCGCTGCATTTGCCGCATCCATGCTTCTGCTAAATGGAGATACCAATTTTCAGAAACTAGCAAACCCAGTAGCTGCTGGCTGGGGCGTTCTCTACCTATCTATAGATCGAATCAAACCTGGTCAAGTCCAAGCAAGCACAAATCTCTCTCACTCTGTATATATATATATACACAGCACACTACATATATATATATGGTAACCGACAGAATTATGGAAAAAAACACGTTCAACTTAGACAGGCGGCGCCTGAGTCCGATTTTTCCATAATTGGATTTTTCCCCATAAGGGTTCAAAATATCCCGGAAGTGATCCGAACCTTTTTTTTTTTTCCATAATTCTTGGAGGTGGCCATTATTTCCATAATTGATTTTTCCTGTAAAATCAGGGGGCTAGGGCAGATTGACCGGTTTTTCCATAATTATTTTTTCATATTTTTTCCATAATTAATGTTTGGGGCTCCACCTGTTGGACATGCACGGATCCACAATTCAAACCCGTTTTTTTTTGGGTTATGGAAATATGTATGCAAATGCAAGTATGTATCAACCCAATTGGTGGCTTGGCAAAAGGAAACATCCCGCATATGTATGTACGTACAACAATGAGTTTTGGTGGTGCAGTTGTTATGTATATCAATGGCAGGCTTTAGGGGCATATACCAGATCTTTAGACACATAGTACCTATAATTCAATATTCCCCCTTAAAATGCATTCAAATTGCGAACATCACATGATATTATGTATATCAATGGAAGACTTAGGGGCATATACCAGATCTTTAGACACATATTTTCTATAATTCAATATTCCCCCTTAAAATGCATTCAAATTGCGAATCGATGGACATACAGTCACCGAGACAATTATGGAAAAAAAACATGGAAACAATAATTATGGAAAAAAAAAGATTCGTAACTTTTCTATCATAGACAGGCGGCGCCTGTAAATTGAAACGTTTTTTTTCTCCATAATTCTGTCGGGTGCTGTATATATGTTTGTGTATATGTAAAACACATATAGTATATATGTATATACATAGCCAAACAACCTATGCTTTTAGAATCTTTTAGATATTTTGCTAACCCTTCCCACATTTTTTTGGACTTTGGGTTGGGGGCATGTTTTATCCTACTTTTGTTTTTTCATGTTTTGATTGTTTAGGTATGTTTTTGGTGCGTATGTATACTTATATAATATACACATACAATTTTTACATACAAGGTATCTCGGGCTTGAATCACAACAATTCTTTGGGCACAGGGGGTGCCATAAATATGCGTGAATTCGAACCTTTTGAGCACATTTTTCTTTGCAGGATGCAGCATTCCATTCAAATACATCCTGTCAAACATGTAGCAGCATTTCTTTACGGAAGTGTCGGTGTTTTTCAAAGAGTCGCTTTGTAAACTCAATATGCAGTATTTCCAGATAATAGTATAGTCTCCCTTCTCAACCTTGAATAGATGCAGAGGTACTTTGATAGACTCTGATAGACTTTTTCCAAAGTGCAGTATTCCTTGGAACAGGATGACATGCGAGAGGTTCCTTTGAAACAACACAGCACATCACAGCACTACTTCAATACAAAGTTCTTTTAGTGTATGCAGTACTTGTGTGAAGTAGTAGCATCTTAAAAGAGGAGTTCTAGTGTAGCATTGCTTTCTGCAATGTTCCATTGAAAGTTGTAACACATTCATTGAAAACAATATGGCATTCCTTTTTGAAAATAACACATTGCTTTTAATAGAACGCCTCTATAGATGCAGTAGTGACTACTATGTTGTTTGGAGAGAGCGTAGCACTACTACTGTGGGAAATACCATTCAAAGGAGTGACACAGTTCTTGAAACGACGTATAAATGCAGCAGTACTTTAACAAAGGCCTTGAAAATGCCGAGATTTCCTTTAGAAAAGGGTGCAATCCTTTCAAAGAGGACAGTACTACTTGAGAATCAAATTGTCCAACGCATGCAGTGCTCTTCTGAAAGGGTATGGATTCCTGCTATGCTCATCACAGCAAAGTGTATACGTATATGTATAATACTATACACATAAGTCCCGCACCTCAGTCGTTCAAATCTGGTCCTCCTTCCTACCCTCGCAGTCGTTGTTGCTACGTCAAGGCACCGAGGCGATGTAAAGCTTCAACTCCACCGGTGCCTTGCCATCGCGGGTGGTCTTCACCTGGCCGTGCGGTGAGTTTGAAATAGTTTGACCCATGGCCATGGGGCTTTGAAGCTCCAAAAAGTGGTTAAAATAAGGGGATTTAAATGGATCATAATGGATCATAATGGATCTAAAGTTTTAAGATATAAAACTTTACTCTAACCTCTCAAATCTCTCAAAGAGGATTTTTGTAAATAAGCTATCAAATGTGGATTCGATCCAGGAAAATACGAGGATTTTAATTGATACAAAAAAGGGATTTGATAATCCAACAACATTGGGGTTTAACCACCAAAATATGGGTTTTGACAAAGAACAAAGGGGAATGAAACAAACAGTGGGAATTGAACCTCTGACGGCGCGGACTTAAAAGTGACCAACAAATCTTTTGACAAAAACCATGGGATGTACTAAACTGGCATTTCTTTGGTATACTTTAGAGAGAACGCAGAGTTTTCTTCTACGGGTCACCACTTACAGGGCTGAAAATTAAATATCTATGATATATTAGATATTTATATATACATATACATTATACATTTATGAATATATACAGGAGTTGCCACAATTATAGAACGGAATTAGGAGTACAAAAGTACGGTAAAATACCGATAAATACCGTACTTTCGTACTCCTCCAGATCCCGATTCCCCGCGGATTCGGATCCTGTTCCATAATTAATTTTTGGCTGTTCTATAATTTTACTAATTTGTGCTCCTCAAATTCCCATTGAAACCACCGGCAACACGCAGATTGTGTGAGTCTTGGAGGTTACTTACATGTATTTACATCATTTTATGTATCCTTCTGGGACCCCGGAAGAATGTAAATAGAAACCAGAATTATAGAACGGAATTATTGCAAATTTACTTATAGAACATGCAATTATAGAACACACAATTATAGAACAGAATTGGTAAATGTGAGAAATATGGGGGAAAACACAATTATGGAACACAAACAAGAATTATAGAACGACAAAACAGTTAGGAGTAAGTTGAGAGTAATTTTTCCCCCCAACGTTCTGAGGAAATAAGAATTATGGAACAACAGAGTACGATAAACAACCATACTTTCGTACTCCTCAACTTCCGTTCTATAATTGTGGCAACTCCCATATATTTGTATATATATATATATTTAATATAGATATGCATGTAAAACTAGTGAGAGCTTGTATGAAAATGAGGGAAACATATGTCCCTTGCTCTCCAGAGGACTGGATTCTCAAGATGCACGCACTTCATATACCACAAATTACCACAAAAATCCACTTTTTGGGGTAGGGATCAACTTGAATTCCTGCGACATCCTGCGACAGCTGAAATGAGCCAGCTCTACCGCACGAGAGCCTAACCTCGAGTCATAATACAGGAGGTTGGCGAATATATGTACCTATTTAATCCTATTTAATCCTTTGTATATATATACACATGATATATACATGATATATCTGATATACCATATGTCACATATCCTACACCATCTGTAACGTACCTTTTCTCTGCAATGCAGCGCAATGACATGGAATTCAATGCAATGTATGCATGTGTGCTTGCTTGTTATAATGTACATAATATCATATATATATATGTACACATAGAGTAGAGCTTCAGAACGATTCACAAAAACACATGATCCCTGAAGCATGCAAGCTCCCCCAGTTGAACAACTTTTGGCTTTGGACGGCTTTGGTATTTTTCATGGACTCCTAAGTCCTAAGTTTGCGACTACACTTCCACATTACGGCTCAACTGGTCTCAGAAAATTCATGATCCTCTGGGATTAAACTGAGACTGCCGCGGTTCCGGTGGCAACGCGCTAAGGATCGGCTGAATGGGCCTTGTCACAGAAACCGCCTGTGCTGGGGGGAATTCTATCTATTGGTAACATGCCATTGACTTTCCAAAACATATGATGTGATGATAAGATAGCTCTCTCTCTCTATATATATAATTATATATATATTGTATCATACACAGTATATACAGTTCCAAGATGTTCTGAACTTTTTGCATTCTCACTCTCTCGCCCTCAACCCGCAGATTTTTCGATGACCCAAACATCTGATGACATCTGAATCCATGGGACTGAGCCCCTTGGCACTTCCATGCGGGAGACGAACATGGATAGTGCCTGCTCTAACTCGTTCCAGTCCTTGTGAGCTTGGCGAGATAGCTGGCGGGACCACCACAATGACAAGCTAATGTGTAAACATCATATGAGTCCCACTCTGCAGTTTGATTTCTGGCTGCAATGCAATTGGGCAAATCCAAAGCTCAGATTCAGGATTTGCTTTGATACAAACTTTCTTTACATGAATGGTCTTGGATGTCTTCTATTTTGATACATGGGTTCATGGAACCCGCACAGGTTTGTCTGAAACTAGGGTACCCCCAAATTCTGCAGTTTAGATCATTTTCACCAATCAAGTTGCTATGCCTTGAGGTATTTACCCACATGTTGGCAACTTCCCCCAATGCCCCAAGTCCTGCAACACTGACAGCACTTGGCCAATGCCGAAAACCAGTTGAGCACGGCAGTCAACGCTGAAGCGCCCATCCGAGACCTGGGACGTCAAATCCTACAGGCCTTGATTTTCATGACGGTGCACACCTTCTCCATCATTTCAGAATCTATCCAAAAAAAAAGTATGCCTCCAACTCCCACGGTTTATCAGCTCATAATATCTCATAATCGTTTCTCCATTGCAAATGTCATGTTTGGGTTCATCCACCATTTTCAAGATACATTAAATACATCCAAATGCGTGTTGATCACTGGTTCACCATGGTTCACATAGCAGCAGCAGCAGGCTCCCGGACCAAAGCGATGACCGCATTCACTGCCTCCTTCCACAATCCGCCGTTGTCTGCTGCCACGATGGTCTTGCGGGCCGCAGTCATTACCTGCCCCGTTGGAACACTGGGGATCCAGGGAGTTGGCGGTGGGAGCTGGCTTGTATAATGAAATGTTACCCTCTGCTAATCCATGGCAAGTGAACATCCTGTCCATAGCTAATGGAAAAATCATGGAACTATAGCTGGTACATTTTCCAGCAAGCCCTCTTTGATTACCAGAGGGTATAGCCCATTCTATCCTGGTTGCGAGGAGATATTCCAAAGTACCTCACCTAGTAATCCTTGAATATTGGACTTGAGGGATCCCGCTGTCTTGAGCAGGATAGCAATAGCACTGTCTTGAGCCCCCCAAACAATTGCTTCGTCACACCAAACTATTGGGTTCATGTTTTGACCAATTCCCCAAATCTGGGGTATGTCTGAAAATGGGCCATACACCCAATATTTATCGTCACTTTAATTGGGAAAAATCATGGAAACATGATGATTTGCCAGTGGATTTTGGTGTTCTTATCGTTTTTCCAATGATGTTCCCCATGATTTTCCCCATGATTTTCCCCATATTTCCCCCATGATTTTCATCATTTTCCCATGCATTTCCCATGCCTTTCCCCTGGGGCACCGCACCATCTTCATGGCATCACATGCCAAGGACTCGCAGTACTTCTTCACATCTGGGTCAGGCGCCTGGGCCCCGGATTTTCCGCAGCAAAAAATCGCCTGGGGATGTTCACCTCCCAACTATGGGGTAGACCCAACTGGGTGATTTGACGCTATGGAACATGGCCCATGTTTGGATGATGTGATGATTTACCTATTAAAAAAGGTGATTTTCCAGTTCGCTACGGTTAAATAACCAGGGGGGAACTAAGAGCTTTTGCTGTGAAATAGCTGGCATATGATGTGAACATGTAAACCATTGCAAACTTCAGATTTGGGGATGGCATGGGGTGGATTCACACATTTTCATGGGATGTGATGGTAAATGGATGTTCATCCCCCCAACTGTGGGTATAACTGATAGCTCTAGGTCCATCCCCAAATCTTCCCCTGAACTATAGGAAAGACCTTGGTTCTGTTGTGCGCGACAACAGCATCTCAATGTGGTCTTTGCAGACTCCAGGTGGCATCGCCGGTGACTTGGGAACTTTAAACTGCGCCTGGAAGTTCTCAGGCTAGTTGGAAGGATAACATATATGATACCTTGCGTTTTTTTTCACATGGCTTGCTGGAAAATTCCCCAGTTAGCTCAATGATTTTCCGATTGAAACCTCTATCTATACGAGAATTTCCTAGCCAGCCATTTTTGATTTCTGGGTGTATATCGGTATAGCCAGAAGAAACACTTCTTTGCCAAGGGAACCCTCTGCAACTGATGGCTCGAGCTAAGTGGGACCCAGCCAAACCAATTCTACTTCGAATATACACATGTATGTATGTATGTATGTATATATATATATATGTATGCACACAATATGTATATACTACATAATTACGTATATATATATATATGTACATATATAATACGTATGTATATATATACACGATTATACACGTGTACACACATACTTCTGCACACACACAACATTCTGAAGAACTTACATATGTAATGCATTCCGCAATTTCTATCAATTTCTAAGGAATGTGCTGGCTTCAACGGCAAAATCGAAGGAAGATGCTGCAGTGCCAGGAATTTCAGGATTGCCTCTGCGGGCTGGAGGCATCACCAAATTCATGGGGGTTGTTTTGGGGGAACATTTAGGGCATGAGAAAACTATTGTTGTTACATATTTTTACCATCGGAAATTGAGGACATCCTGGTTTCAACCGCGATTTTTGCCACTGGAAACTGGGGGTTTCCTTTAAGGTTTCCTGAAGATTTTCCCTTCAAATCTGGTGACAATGGTGACAAAGTGCATCAATCTACGTCCAAAACATTCGACTCACGCATTCGCAGCATAACCCTCGAGTTCCGCATTCCCAGGTCTTTCCGAACTATGGCAAAGCTCAGCATCCGGTCAACTCTTCGTGCGGGCCTTGCACGGCCCTTCGTTCAGAGCCAAGTAACCTGGCACAGCAACCCTAAAGGAGATGAAGAATTTAATGGGTTCAATTTGAATTCAAAGAAGTATCAAACCAACCACAGGATATGATGGGAAACCAACAAGCTTGTATTTGGGTTCTGAAAATTCTGGGAAAATGATGTTTAACTAGTGGATTTTGGAGTCGTCTATTTTCAGACAAGCCCACATTCATCGACAATGCTAGACTTTCAGCTTTGTAGCTGCTTTCTCCTGCCATCTCCTGCCTATGAGAGATTGAATTTCTTACCCTTCATTCAAGAAATGACCACATGCAACCATCCATAGTGTCCTTAGAAGGGAAAAAATGAACAGGAGTCAGTCAACTGTACCATTCACACGGCCGGATCATATTTGTTCTAAATTTCTTCTCATGGATAAACATCAGGCCATGGCAGTGGAAGCCACTTCCCGACCTGAAGTGAAGAGCACCAGGCGAGACGCGGCGCTGCGTAAGAGCAGGGCCTTCACCCCATCTGAAGGATATGGCAGCTGCGGCCTGATGGAATCAGATCCAGCGATTCGGCTAGAGGAAATATGGATAAACATGAGCCATTTGCCATGAAAAGAACCTCTCTTTGCAAAAAACAACTTGGATCATTTGATCATTCTGTGGATTTTGCCATTTAAAAAGTCAGGATATCTGTCGAGATGGAACGCACCAGTCACGAAAGCAGCAAATCAACTGAAGCCTCAATGCAACTCTAAAAAATAAAGACTTCTGTGCAGACTTTGAATTCCAGGGTTGGCAGGTTCCAACATCAAAGTAAGAGCTGGATTTGTATGCCGATTATACTCAATAAAGGAACGTCAAAAACCAATGGAAAATCATTTATAAATCTTATATCGGTCTATTGATATGGAGATTCCCTAAGTGGATTACGATAATATCTAAAAATATACTGGGTAGCGAGTATAACCCCCCTACAATCATCAACGAACCATCATTGAAATATTACCGTACCATTACTTATATACTTATATCTTCGTATTTTTGTGGTAAACATCTCCATATTCCATATACATAATGGATCACATATGGATATTTTTATGGATACCCCTACTGTCAATTCCATAATTACATCCCAATACATTGAGTGCATCACCCGTCGTGCCCCCAGGGGGCCAGGCAAGAGCTCAATGAGTCTTGGGATCACCGTATCTTGACCAGCAGGCGCTCGTGACGCGACGCCGGTCAAGACCTGGGGAACTCTGGGATTCACTGATTCACCAGTGGATGGAATTGAGGTCCATATTTTTAGACACCTCATGTGAGCATAATTTTATATAATTTTTGGATCCTGCAAAAGCGAAAGTGTATTGAGGTGAGCACGAAGACACAAGCATCTATGTCCTCTTGTCCAACACAACGCGTGTGGCACACCGATGGAATCTAGGTTACCTCAAAAACACAAACAATGTTAATGTAAAAACACAAACAATATAATACAATATTAATGATTTGATACAATCCTGAGCTGCCGATGACCCTTACAATAGATCTGTCTTGTTTCCGCATGGTGTTTGAACGGTTCCATAGTTTTATGCTTGGAGATTCCATGACCGGAGAGGCACCACAGGTGAATTCAAGCAGTTGACATGGCGCCATGATTGAAACGAAGTCCTGCCATGGGATCGGGTTCTGCTTACAAATCTCCTGCAAGGCGCTAGATTGCATGTCGTCAAATCACGTGTGCTCCCTTAAATCACGTGAAGATATCTCAGAATACTTTCACTACACATTCTGGCCTAGGTGGCTGCTGTGAATTTGCAAACAAACAGGGGACACAATTTTGGATCAGGCATCCGTGCCAAAACCATCCAAAACCATGTTAGAACCATGTCAGGTATATTTCTTGCTCACACCAGTACTGAGTCACTGTTCGCCTCAAACACCATTTTTCAACATTTGCATCTACATGGCAGTGTGTCAAAACCTTGTACCCCTGGTGAACATCAAAATAGCTGGTAAATGGATGTGAATAACCCCCTAAAAATGGTATTAATAGGTATTGATCCATACCCACATCAACACCGGCGAATATGCCCAAGACATCCCAAAACATCGTCCACTCGCCCGCCCGTGTCTCGCAGGTGGCATCCTCGAGCAACTGACCAATGTGTTCAATGATCCATCGAGGGGTAACAACCACACAGGCCTCAGTTGGAAAGTCACACTCCAAGAGTGCAAATGAGCCGCCTTGAAAATCTTCCAAGCAGATGGGTTTGTTCAAACATGGGGTGCATCCAAAGTAACATATGAATGGGATGCATGATAATAATCCAATGGGTTTTAGGGTAACCTATTTTTTGACAAATACAAATGGATCAAAGTCCATCTGAGTTTTTGACTTCAGTGATATTGATGTTGCACAGCTCGCGAAATCGAACGAAGTCGTCCCATTCAAAGTGAGCCTTAGAATGACGATAAATATGGTTCTGTCTGAACATGGGGAACCCGGCGAATTACCATAGTCCCCATTTAAAAATGGGCCACAACTTGGGGGTATACCCCATTTTTAACCACACTCACTCGTCTTACCGCAGTTTTCATCACCATGTACATTTTCATTTCCAATACGAGTACATCACCAAACAATGTAGCACTTCAGCATATGGGCTTGCACAGAAATAGGGCATTCTCAAATCCCATGGCTGATCATCACTTCCCCTGATTAAGTAGAACAAATGGTGTATCCCCATTTTTGGACAAACCCACATTGGATTGGCCGGTCAACGGTCCACAGTTTTCAGCAGTTTTCAACATGGCCTCCTGTTCTGGCTCTGGCGGATATCGCACTGCCTGCCAATGTGCCTCACAAGACACGAACTTTCAGAATGACACCCGGGCAGAAAACCATCGATCTGTGACACTATGACCAGTCCATCTGGCACTCAGCATCAAATCTATGGATGCGGTGCCAACGTCGTACAGTTCACCCAACGAAAGTTCCACATACCTTGCAATTCGACTAAAAATGCTCCAAAACCTGGCTTTCCAAATTGAGGGACTCATGTCACCTGACACTTTTTGACCCCGCAGTGTAACATAGCAAATCATAGCAACCAGCAAAATAATCCGTGGGGCTAGACCCCCAAGCCAAGCCAAGCTTAGTAGGCTGAGTGGTTGTCCATGCCCTGGTGACACCGTGGCTTCGGAAACTGCTTCCCAAGCCTTCCCGTAATATCAGAAACGATAATTCCGGCCTTGTTCCGTGGTGAAGGATGAAAGTTTCTCCTTCTGTATCTGGTTTGCAATCATCGCAAAGCGGTAGTGTCACTGTCATGGCTTCATCATTTCAGGACCAGTCCTCTCCGCGCGCAAATTTCTCATGCCAGCGCTTGTGAAGCACAGTGCCAACGGAGTCTTGCAGCCATGCGACGATGTGTCGAGCACTGCGCTCCCTCCAGCCTGTATGTGATGTAGCAAATTCATCCGTCGGGCTGGGCCCCCAAGCCAAGCCGAACTTAGGCTGAGTGGTTGTCCATGCCCCGATGACACCGTGGCTGCAACGACACCGTTTCCCAAGCCTTCATGTAACATCAGCAACGATAATTCCGGTCTGGTTCCGTACGACAGTGACACTACCGCTTCGCGATGCTCGCAAACCGGATGCAGAAGATGCAACTCACAGGCGTCCAAGCTGGTCTTGCAGCTCGGTTGTCAAGTCCGCGATATCACTGGAAGATTTGTGCGTCTATAGCGCATGCAAGTCGTGTGGCTGATTACTGATTACATACAAGGTTCATCAAAGACATGATGGACAGTGACTGCATGATGCAGCCACTCATCTTCAAACGATAGCAGATAGCAGGCTGGGCAACAGCTCGCTTGCATCATGTTGAGCGGGGGCACATGGTCCATATGGTGGACACCCAAGTAATTCCAAGTTTGGATGATCTGATCCCATAAACGCCTGCATGAAACAGCAAAGCGCCCAGCATGCCTATACGAAACCCAGCATGCCTATATGATGTCGGAAGTTGAAAAAAGGTGGATACCAAAAATAGGTTGAGGAAAACGTGTTGATCAATGAGCCCGTTCCTCACACACGGATTTCTTTCGGCCGTGGCGTGCAACAGCAACAGCAACAACAACAACAACGACAACGACAACGACAACGACTACGACAACGACAACAACAACAACAACAGCAACCACATTCACAACCACAACCACAACCACCACAACCACAACCACAACCACAACAACAACAACAACAACAACAACAACAACAACAACAACAACAACCACCACAACAAAAACCACCACAAAAACAACCACAAAGACAACCTCAAAAACAACCACAAAGACAACCACAAAGACAACCACAAAAACAACCACAAAAACCACCACCACCACCACAACCACCACGGCTGCTGCTGCTGCTACTACTGCTAACACTGTTAATACTGCTAATACTGCTATAATACTGCTAATACTGCTATACCTAATACTGCTACTACTATCGCTACTACTCTCGGACAAAATACCTAGACACCAGCCTTGGCATAGCTGTACGAGTACTCTACATGATCGCTGAAGTGCAATATCAGTGTCATCTAGGTGCTGTTCTTCCACCTCCTCATCCTGCACCACCTCCTCCTCATCCTCCTCCTCCTCCTCCTCCCCTCGCCATCCTTCACCTCCTCCTCATCCTGCACCTCCTCCTCGAAATCCTTCACCTCCTCCTCCTCCTCGCCGTCCAGTTCAACTTTGAGTTGACACGCATCCTTGGATGGGCGATCCAAGTCAAGGTAGATCAAGGATGATCAAGGTGGAATCAACATGAGGCTATGTGAGCCTTTAACCTTGAAGTGAACTGTTGATGACACTGTAGATGAAAACACCGGGCCGCGGCTTTTTGCATCCCAAGGCGCATGTGGCTCGTTTGTCCACGTGTCCCAACCCCCGGAATCTTCATTTGCAGCTGAACAATCCCACACGCGCACCATGGGGCCTCTGCCCTGGATTTACAATAGAAAATCTTTCTACTATCGTTGGGAACCAGCGGAGAACGGCTTTGTGGCATAGGGGTTCCCGACCAGACCTTATAATTAGGTGAGCTATGAGGTCTGCTTGGGGTAGCTTCGTGCTGCACCATGTTTGGCTCAAGAACATGCTCTCATGCATGAGTATGAAATCTGGGTGTTGTAGTTCTTGGTCCGGCTCAAAAACTGGAGGCATAGATTCTTCCGCCGCGACTCTTGAGCCTAAAAGAGCTATATAGGTATGTATATATGTACATATATATATATATATATTATATAATGCAGACTTGGGGGGGCAGTTAACTTGGGTTTGTTAAGGGGGTATGATTTTTAGTTCCATAACTTGGGATAAAGGTGATGGAAATGCGGACCCAAATAGACATGATATACAAAAAACCTGGACATGCAGTATGTATATATATATATATATCGGTCTATATTTATGTTCCCTTCTATGACAATCAAACACTGGCACAGATGAAGGGTTGTGCCAAAACGTAGCTCCATTGTCATTGACTGCAGCACCCAATCTGAAAGACAGCAGACCCGGTGGCAGCCAGGCCCCAAGCCCCTTGTCAAACTCGACTTTCTTTGGACTTAAATCCCGCCCCGCATGTCGACTAACCCTGTGTGATCAGCGTCAAAGGTCTGGTTGCGAACTGGGTCTAGTTTTTGTTTTGAAAAAAAACATATTCAAATAATGGATTGTAACGACCCCTTTAAACATTTTCCAATAGGTTAGTAGTAGAACCACACTATTAACAATAAACCAACGGGTTTTTGATAGTGCTCATTTGGAGGTACATCCCAAATTTAGACAACCCCAGTCGTGGATCCCCCTGCCTGCACCATAGCCTGGATGTGACTTTCAAGCCTCGGCCTGTGAGTTTGCCGAGATTGATTGAACATTATGAACATCACCAATATAAATCAACATAAAGGGTAGCATGACCCCCTATTTTTTTCGCAACCTACCAGGGTGTTGGTCACTCCTGTTGATTCATGATTCCTAGCCCAGTACAAGAATCCCTCTCCAGCCTCTCCACACTGCGGCGGTTGGTTTCTTGGTCCAGATCTCGATTGCCACCCCAGGCCTCTTGACTATTGGTTGGCCGGGCCAAAGTAACAAGCGACATTCGGTGTCCGGAAAGTCTCATCAAGCGTCAACGCAGTCAACACGAATATGATCGAAGACAACTCCAACATATACCCGCAGAACCTAACGCTCGCCTATGATGACATAATATATTTAAATTTTTCCAATGGTTTTACCACATGTTTCATCCGCGGTTCTAACCGCCTTGCAGGGATGGTTGGTACATGTTGGTACACTAGGTGTGGCCCCTTGCCACACGTACGACACGAAATTTGCTTCATGGCTCGTTTCAGAATAATTTGGGGCAACAACCCTTCGCAGACTTCGTGGGGTCTGTGGGAAAAAAGGGCCGTTTCGTGCGAGAAACACAGGCTCCGGGCAAACGTCCGGATCTGTGCAAACATAAAATCATATACGATAATCACACACACACACATATATATAATTTCACATTCGGCAAATGCCTGGGCTTTGCCCGGAACCGCAACCACGACAGGCAACGCATCATCATCATCATCATCATCATCATCATCATCATCATCATCATCATCATCACCATCACCATCACCATCACCATCACCATCATCATCATCATCATCAATGTAGATGTTTAACAGGGGTGGGAGAATTAAACCCTTATCGAAGATCTTCAATGAATGTAGAAGTTTAACAGGGGTGGGAGAATTAAACCCTTATTGAAGACCTTCAGTGAATGTAGAAGTTTAACGGGGGTGGGAGAATACAACCCTTATTAAAGATTTTCAATGAATGTAAAGTTTAACGGTGGTGGGACTTGAATATTCCCTAATACCTCTGTTGCTCTTCCCACTTGAATGTAAAGTTTAACGGGGATGGGATTTTAATATTCCCTAATACCTGTGTTGATCTTCTCAATGGAATGCAGAGTTGCAGCAACATTTGATTGCGAATGGGGACCCTCTACGCAGGCGTTGCGCGTATATATATCTATATATATATACATACATAATATATATATATATATATACATAATATATATATACATATGCATACATTACATTACATTACGTTACGTTACATTACATCACATTACATTACATAGATAGATGGAAATGCACACTACCATGGCTTCGACCACATCTTTCAAACTCGGTGCGCCTGTCCACTGGAGCCTTCCTCGTCAAAAGGATCCTCCTGCGGGGTCAGCTTTTGGGGCCCGTTGGATTTTCCGATTTTCCCATGTTTTCCCTATCTGAAGGTTTGAACTTCTGAAACGTGAAGGAAAAATCCGGAGAAATCCGGCACTGGCTTTAAGTGAAAGAAGACTAGACTTTCAGCTTCTCATCTTGTCGAAGGCACACATGGTCAAGCATCAAAGCTTGGATAGGTTTCAAGTTAGATGGCAACGTGCAAGTTGCTTTCAAGAGAAAGCTTTCGCACGAGCGTGTTGAGGAACCTGTTATATGAATATTGATGTTGACATGTCGTACTTATGGGCATCACTTAGCCATTTTCCAACCAAGATGTAAGGAACAAGCGGAAAGGTCTTAAAAGGCAGTATCCAGGGTCGCTTGTAATATCCCTGCTGCTTATAAATCAAATGTAAGCAAACTACTGCAAACGATTTCAATCTCGGATTGACCCGCAACCCAGACCCAACTAGTATAAGCCCATCTTTAACCAGTAGTCAGCAGGGATTTTGGGCATTGTTCAGTCATACATGCACACACGCACACACACACATATGATATATATATATATATGATATATATATATGATATATATATATGATATATATATATATGATATATATATATATATACGTATATATATATGATATATATATATATGATATATATATATATGATATATATATATATATGATATATATATATGTGATATATATATATATATACGTATATATATATACGTATATATGTATTTATATATATATATGTTATATATATATACGTATGTATACAAATATTTTCTTGCCATCCCCATGGACTTCTCCATTCCTCCAATTCCTTTCGCCATTGGGCCATGGTTCCCAGCTCCTCTATGGCCTCCGCACCCAAATGCACTGCGAGGCCCTGGGCGCTGGGAGATGGGACCTCTGAGTTCTGGGAACTGGCCAGTTGGCCATTTGGCCATTGGAAATCTAAAGATAGAAATCCTCAACTTCATAGGACATCTCTGGCAAAAAATGATACAATTTCTGGATTTTTGACTATTTTTGACAGTGCCAGGTCTGATTCCTCGATATTTCTTGTGATGTTTCTTGGACCCGCCACGTGACATGCTTTGGATCTTTGGCTTTCGTTGTGGCAACCCGCCTGGTACCAGAAATCCAAGCCACATCGGGCTAAATCAGTGTGTCGCCTTAGGAATGATGGGATGCTACTGTTCTGATTCCTGCGGATGCTAAGCTGCTAAACTGATTCTCCAATTCCTACTTTCTATATTTTCTATAGATAGAATTTGTGGCCTGCGTTGGCCTCTTTATAGAGGCTCCTCTGTCAGGCACCAGAACTATTCACTAATTTCCCAGAACTAATCACTATTTTGTCACTTATTTGACAGAACTAATCACTAAATTTGGTGTGGCATCCATTATATCTGGAATTGGGAACACAGAGAGAGTAAACCTACAACTGACTTTTTGGCAGTGGGCACTTGAATTTTCTCTTTTGTCCTATCCAGGACACTTGCACTGGCTCAAAAATTGAGCCCGCTGTAGTTTGCAGTGGTCAGCCAGGGTCATGGCTGCTAGGGGCCATGGGGAGGAGAGCAAATCTTCAGATGACTGTGGGTCATTCGTGAAATCACTGATTTCCCTTTTCCCTGACAGCGAGCCTGAAACTGAACCGATCCTTGTCTTAAATGGAAGTTGCTATGTCCTAACACCTATGTGGATAGCTCATCTCCCTTTAGCTTGCAGTCTGCAAGGCTATCATGGAGTAATTCATGATAATCTGGCAGGTAGCGACTGAGGGATGGCTGTTATGCCTATGCCGTTAAGATCCTCGAGATTATCATTGTTTGATGAGAAAAAAAGGGGAAAATGCGAAATTGAATATAAACAAAGTGGGAATACCAATTTCGTTTTCTTGAAATTGCGATTTAGCCTGACAAAGTAGTAGACACGTGGGAGTGACTCTATAGGAATATCTTGGGATATGATGTGACCAACAATTTAAATAGAACTTGGAATTTGGGTTTGTCCAGAGATTGGAGGTTTCTGGGCCCCAACCACATTGGGAATTTAATGGGGGTACAAGGGGATAGGATATGGGATATGAGTGAATCAACAAAATAATCTGTGTTTCCCTGAAATTGGTGGCGCCCCTAAAGTTGATTATACCCAAAATGATAAGAGTACAAATTCCCAGATACGATGTGGAAATAAAAAATAAAACCATGTTCAGCCCGACTCATGTACACTTGTCATTTGTTTTTATTTTTGGCATGTGCATTTCGGTCATGGAGTGTTTTATCTATCCCCCACTGTGAGAGCGTACAAAATCAAATGGGATAAGCCCCGGTGGTATACATGCGAGCCAAAGTCAATCCCACGTAAGACACCTCACCAGCTGGGAAAAAACATGACGCTTTCATTCTGCTAGTATTTGGGCTATCGACGATTTGCCATTGCTGCTTTGGGTTCCTGCTGCGCACAGAAGTAGATTCAAACCATTTCAAACCCACAACCTTGCAACGACAAAGCAAACAAACTTAGACATGTCACGCTTGGCACGGCAACCGCCCATGACTTTAGGTGTTCGACGGCAGACAACTTGAATGAGCCCAAGACCTTTCAGTGGGCGCAGCGCTATGCAGACAAAGCGGGCTTGTCCACTATGAAGGGTTTTCTTCGCAACGTGAAGCTGCATGTCTTAATGCAGGCATGGTTGGATTTTCTTGGTGCCGATCAGCTTTGGTAGCTTTGAAGGTATTAGGTGGGATATGGTATGCCACAGCTTTGGATACTTTCCCGTATTTTTCAGGGGGTTACCATCGCAGCTCATGGCTGTCCAATCCGAGGCTGGACATCGCCGAAGGTTGTGCTGGGGCTGCCACTGGAACTTACGCGATGATGCTTGACAGCAAAAGTTCATCAAACCAAACAAGTGGGCTGAATTGTGATCGCTTTGATGTCCTGCTCTGACTAATGTTTTTGAAATCTTGAGCGTTTGATTAGGTGACAGACTACCAATTAGATCCCAGGATTTAGGGCTCGGTGCCTAGTATACCTACAGCTCGTGAAATTCCTTTTTCTCATGTTTACATCCTTGGGAAAGGTTTGACTGCCTCCTGATTTTGATCCAAAGAGTGTTCGTGGTTCTTGTCAGAAAGGACATATGCCCAAACCAGGCAGTTGCCCAGAACATCGGAGAGATGGTGAGCAAAGTTATTCCCCATGCGTTTGATTCGCCACATGGTGGGCAAGCTGACCGGGAAACGGTTCAACAATTCATGGCTTATAATCGGGCAGTTCTGTCAGATTTGGGCAGAGAGCCAACTTTCCCCCCTCCATCCCAGGACGGGAGTGGCCGGGGTGTCCAAAATTGGTTCACTGCCAGGGAGCTTTGGGTTCCTGGTTTTAAAGTAGAAGCTGAACTAATCACTATTTTTTCCGGATTTTTCCGGAACTAATCACTATTTTTGCCAGCAATGTACCAAAAAGACTTACAAATTTCCAAGGGGACCGGCTCCCAGGCTGTAGGTCTCACTAATCCCCATGCCCCGGTTTGGCAGGATGGCAAGTCTTCTGAGCAGCGCAAGAAACTTGTGAAGAGTATGAAGAAAGAGCTTGGGCTGCAACCCTATGGGGAAATACCATCCTAAAGCGAAACCATTCTCCCCAAGGAGGTTGGTGACAAGCTCAATGCACGTGAAAAGGAATCCCTTGATCTTCAATGGGCCATCCTGCAAGCCCCTTTGCTGAAACTCAGGTTTGGATTTAAGATTCTCAGCTTGTAAAAGTAGATACAGTAGATGAGATTTGGGGAGCTCAAGAATTGCAAGATGCAACTTGCAAGAGACCAATCAAACGTGACTAGTGGCTAGGCTAGACCCAAATCAGCTAGACAAAACACTATCGCTCAGAAAAAGCTACAGAACAAAGGAAAAAGGAAACCATTGAACATTAACATGTTTTTAGCTGATGTCATCATGATGTCAAATAGGCTTGTCTAGAGAACCGTTCGAAACCGTTTCGAACCGCTCACAAGCTTTTGCCAGTGATTGGTTCGAAACCGTTCGAAACCGTTTCGAACTAATCAATACCTCTACATAAGACTTGTCACCCCATATCCAGCAAATAGTTTCAAATAGTTCGAAACCGTTCCGAACCGTTCACTAATTACGTGGTAGCTTGTTGGGTGAGTGAATGGTTCGAAACCGTTTCGAACCGTTTCCCGCTAATCACCGGTGATTAGTTCGAAACCGTTTCGAACCGTTTCCCGCTAATCACTGCATCAGATATGTTACATACTTTTTTGTTGAGATTTTTACTTTAAGATTTATAACTTATAACAACTTATAACTTCTAGCACTTAAATCTATTCATATTCAAATGTTTTATGATGTGTTCTGTTGTAGTTCCCTTGTTATTCTTCTGAGCGGCGCCGGTGGAAACGACCACGTCCGTTGAATACATTGTTCAAGTGAAAAGAATGTTGTGGGCGTGATTGCCATTGTGGTCTTCTCTCCTCTTGTCTTCTGGTTGCGCACTTGGGATCTGAACACTTGTCTAAAATGCCACAGTGGGGATCACTCGAAGGAAAGTAATTCTTATGAAGTGTTACACTGCAATTTGAATGGTTTTCAGTTTTCATCCTAAGTTCCAATCTCTTATCCCAGATCCATCTCTGTGATAGACTGACCCTGCTCAAATCTCAGGAAACCCAAGACCGAAGCAAAGGAGAACGCAATTGTCAAGAACAAGAAACGCAAAGACAAGCCGACTGAAAAGTCTGACGCAGCCGAGGGGTCGTCAAAGCCCGCCAAGGGTCGCAAAAGCAAGTGACCAGTTTTCTTCGATGTTTTCCAGGGATAGTCTTTACTGGAAAGCCGCCAGTAAACAGGGATGCCTTGGAGATCTAATCTTGGGGCGTGGACAAGGATAAGAGGTGGGTGTAGCCACCACATGGTCCTGCTGTGACATAAATGGACAAAATTTGTCGAAACTATGACATAGTTTGTGCTTGTTGTTTTTCAAACATTGTTTTCCGGGTTCATGTGACAACACGGGGACCAAAGGCCTGCAAATATGGCGCTTGAAGCCTCCCTCCACCTTGTCTACTTTCTTTTGCTTAGCACAAACCGTGCTGACATGAGGACACAACGGCAGGAACCAGACAAAACGGAAATCTTTGCTTGCTGCAGCATTTTGGCATTAAATCAAATCTGGCCAGGCCATGCCAGGCCATATTGAGACTTCGAAGCTGGGGGTGAGAATTTGGCTTTGGGCCTAGGATTTGAATCTCTCAGTACATGTCATTTTCCGGGTCAGCCACGAACAAATGCAAATAAATCCGGCATTGATCACCACATCAGAAGAACCTTCCCATATACCTTCACTATGTATATGCTTTAATTTATGTGTGATATAGGGTTTCCATGTATGATTTTGTGATTAGTTCCTGTTTTTTCCTCCAAATTTAGTGATTAGTTGGGGCCATTCCACCATAGTTTTTGTGAGTAGTTCTTGCAGTTCTTGTGAATAGTTTCTTTACATATTCTCCTTTCATGGCAATTTGTGAATAGTTTCCAGGTAATGTGGGTGAAATTAGTGATTAGCGTAGGGCTGCCCCCCGCTTCCCACAGACAAAGAGGCCAAGGCAGCTCCCAAGATAGAATTATATATATATAGAATTGGATAAACAAAAAAAAGAAAAACCACTCAAATAGTTCTCAGCGCTGAAGCTGAGGCCAGGCTTTTGTCGCTCACGGGACCCAATCGTGAAACATACCTACCTTTAGCAACTTTCTCTCTCTCTCTCTCTCTCTCTTTCATCAACCTTAAACATTTCAAACCCATAAGATATCATGGGATCATTGTATGTTATTCGATCATTGTATGTGTCCTGTAGGAACCACGAAGAAGATACAGTAGAACATCCGCTAGAACATGATAGAACAGTAATCGATTACTATTTTGGTGAAATTTGACATTTCTATCTTCTTTGGGTTGCTACAGTATATCAGTATATCTTACTATTGGCTTTACCACATTCCCATGGCTGGCATCTTCCAACTCTCAGCCCATGGCAGTCGCACAAAGTGCTGTGCTAATGTGGAGAGATCGTTCAACCTGGGAGTCGTTGGGTTCGTTTCAGGGAAAAAGCAAACATGATGTTTTTGTTCACTATCAGTATTGAACATCGGTTTACCTTGCAGAAGAATCCTTTCATTAAATTCTAGGATTCAAACCTGCACTAGACTGTTTAAAAAATCACAACAGCACAAATCCTTCTAAATTGGAGACTCCCCTGAAACCCAGTTCCCCTTTCATAGACCAGGCTGGGACTGCGGCACAGCAGGCACATTGTTTTCCTGCAAAACGACCTTGCAGCTTGAGGATTCCAACGACTGGTTAGGTGGGACATGTTTCAACCCATCCCAAACATGCAGAGTCAATTAGGATCATCCCAGGATAGACATCGTGAATTTCTGTACCCTCTGGTCGTTTAACGCAGTTGATTTACCTATTGACATGGTGATTTTCCATAGCCATGTTAACTTAAGGTACGACTTAGCGATGTTTGAACCCACCCACCAGAGAACATGCGGGATGGCCCTGAGCCCTACAAGACTTGCCAAGCCTCAACATCGACAAACCAACGCATCAAGAAACCGAGATCCTAAAATTGTTTGTTGCAATAATTAATAATGCAATTCTTGGAACTCTTGATTAGACCCTGGTTGATCAATCAGGTGGTCCCCCCAAAATAGTGATCATCTGCTACTAATCTCATCTCCCGCTCATATTCAACACCACCATGGTTTCCCATGTTTTTTCCAATCCCCATGTCTAAATCCCCTACATCCACCATGGTTTCTGGGGTGCGTTGGTCCGCCCAGGGGATGGGATCAACAGCCATTAGTTCATAGTTCTATATTCCACTATATCAGTAGATATGTCAATGTACATATATACATACATGTATCATGTAGTATTATTATTGTTATCATGTAATTGTTCTTGCTATTATTATGAATATATATAATATATATATATATCATTATACTATTACATTAATTCATATATTCCATTATATAACTATTCATTAATGGTTGGTTGCTCCCCAATGATCCACTGCTGCTCCGTGCAACGTCCGAGCAGCAAAGCGTGCGAAGGGCCCTCCGAGTTCGGACAACAAGCGGCCCAGCACCGCCAACTGCGGACGTCGAGCGGACGGGGAAGGGCTGAGTTTCCATGGGTAAAACCATGAAAAAATACCATGGCCTATGGTCCAAACAATGGGGGTAAACGCCACCAAAAAAAAAAACATGATGATATTATAATGACAACTTATTCATTCAGCTTTGCGGAAAATGATGAACAATCATCTAGGGCTTTTCCCATGGGTTTTCCCATCATTCTCAGTCTCACACTGTGTTGGTCAACTCGCAGTCGGACTCCAACCATGCGGACAACTGAGCCTGTGGCGCTTGGAAGTTCTTGGGCGGTTCTGAGTACTGGAGCTCTTGCAATACGGTGGTTTCCATAAATGTGGGTACCCCGAAATGGATGGTTTATAATCCTATTTTGAATGGATGATTTGGGGGTACCCCCATTTTAGGAAACAGCCACATAATTATCTATGGGTTTTAAGGGTTCGATCATGCTTGATCATGTTTTATCTCCACATCAGCTAGTGTATATATATATACACATAAATAATGATATATTATGATATATTCCATGATTTTCCAGCGTTGCCGCTCTTTTCCATGAACAAGGCATGTTTTCGAACAAAATCGAAGATTTTGGACAACTTCTCAGCGGAGCTGTAGGCTCTCATCCCGAGCATATTTTCTGACCCTGGGAGCCTACCTCTCTGAGGGAAAAGACTTGGCGGCTACCAGTCACTACCTGAGCGCGATGCTGGACAATTCACCCCACCATAGTGGTGGTTGCGAAATCCTGAACCAGTTGGAAGCGGCAGTTCTCTCTTCATCTCAGGTAGCGTTTGGTGTAGTAGAATTCCCTCATATAGGCGTGGGGCATTCGGGGGGATTGAACCTTCAACCTCTAGTTTAAGCTGAAGCACAAAAGATAGACATATACGATCGCTCATATTGAGCCACTTATGCCAAAGTTAAATCTAATTCAATGTCAAATAGAACAACAAACCTGTAGCGCTGCCCCAACTTACTGTAATCCTCTACTCTCCCATCAACATGATTTCCAGATCAATTGAGGTATAGCCGGCTATTCTAGCCAGTGCCCAGCGGCTCCCTGGCCTTAAGTTTAGATCAATTAGATCAACCAGTTGCTCAACTGGGTGGTGCATCTTCGGGCTTTGACGGCCCATTTCACGTCAAGTCAGATCTTCCTCCTATTGCTGGGGATGGACAACGGCATATATTTGAAACCACCAAATAATAGACCCCAAATAATCCAAATATATCCAAATGGTACACTACATCTTGCAGTCTTGGTGCTGGAATAGTTTCCAAGACTGAGAAGCTGACTCCCTCAATGATCTGAAGAAGCAGCTGTGCACTCGGCCCTGTGACCTGCGGGATCTGGATCAGACCAGTGGTTACCAGTACTCTCCTGGCCTCACCCAAGCTTTGGACTAACCCATATGTTTCCGATTCGATTAAGTCCCATAGCAAATGGGACCCCCCTTATGTTAATAAATTGGATGGTTACTCATCCTGGGTTGACATTATTTCTAAAACATCAACATAGATTATATCTGGGGATTATGATCATAATGTCCAATAGAATTGCGCGTGTAATCCCTTCCCCCTGATATCAAACACCCCTGACAAACCATTGCTTAGTAGGGGGATTTACACAGATTTGGAACTATTTAGAAGGTGTTTTTCATATATTTTAATATTAGGGGGGATGGGATTACCCTCCCGCAATCAAACATGGCGTGCTCGGAAATCCACCACGTAGAGCTTTGAATGGGGCCCCATCATCGAACTATAGCTGGCGATCCCCGCCCCGCTGGCGCGCGCCTCGTTGGTGAGTGCCATTGCCTCACTAAGAAGCTCAGCGCAGCTACGACCTGGCCAAGTTGGCGAGCTCTGGCCAGACTAATGAGATCTGGCCATCGGGATCTGAGACATGATACGTACTTGATATATCTTAATATCGTATATGATACTGTACTAGCACTCAAAAATCCAAATACAATAGGCTATAGGCAATCACAAGGGTGCAGCATGCTGCAGTCTTTTCGATTTGCAGTCTGCCTCCAGTCTGCTTTGTTGGGAGATGCGGCCCACAAGCTCTGTACAATGCCGGGAGAGTACTGAGTATCTCAATCTCTCTAGATTTCCTGGGCCACAACTTCAGCTCTTCAGTTTTGAGCCAAGCCAGGGCGATTTTTACGCCTGTTTACAAACAGATTCAAGTCAGTCCAGGTGCGGGATGGCAGTCACGGCTGGGATGTGTGGAGCTCAGCAGCTGTCATCTCCGAGGAGTGCAGCATCGTCCAAGCGTCTGCCATCTCTCGCTCCTCAGGAGCTGGAATTTCAGCATTTGAAAACGAGGCGAGGTGATGTTTAACCATGTTTAAATATGTTTAACATATTATATATTATTATATACCCAAATGAAGCAAGGCAAATCAACCATCTAGTGCAGAGACCCCAATCCTCCTTCTCTGCTTCGGCTTTCTTCAATGCAGCTCTCAGCTCAGCCACCTCCTCCTGAAGAAACATGTTATATGGAACACTGTTGCACCCCCAAGAAAGTGAGATAAGAAAGAATCGCAGAGAAAGCAATGACCCGCAGTATCCCGCAGTCCTTCTGCTCTGCATAGTCTCTCTCCAATGCTCTCAGCATAGTCTCCTCTTTCCTCCTCTCTTTCTCCATCCTGTGCATTGCCCCGGTGCACCTGTCCTGTTCCTGCACCGCCATGTCCTTCTCTTTCTTCTCTTCAGACCATTCTTTTGCCATCTTAGAGACTCTGTCCCTCAGCTGCAGTTTCTCGTTCTCCAAGTCTGCAATCTGCGCCTGAGCCTTGCTCAAGGCAGCCTTCACTTCGGCACTCTCCGTCTTCTCCTCGTGGATCTCCTCTCGAAAGAGTTGGGCCTGAGATTCTGATCTCTTTTTCTCTTGCTCCTGCGTCAGCAGTTCCCACTCCGCTTCCTGGCGCTTGGTTTGAGCCAGCTGTGCCTGCAGCTGCTCAGCCTCTGCCTGGCTCTCCACCTCCGAGGCATTTACGGCTTCATCCGCAGCCGCCACGTCCATCGACTGAAACTCCTCCACTGGCACTGGCTCCACGGGCACCACAGCCTCCACAAGAGCCACAGGCGTCCCAACAGGAGCCACAGGAGGCTCCACAGGAGGCTCCGCAGCCTCCACAGGCGCCACAGGCTGCACCTGTTCCACTGAGGATGACTCATCCTTCAGTATCAGATGGAGCGTGTCACGGATGCGGTTTTGATCATAGAGGGTTCCCATGCACTGATCCTCTGGAACTTCTGTATCTTCCTTGCCAACCACACGAATCTGCAGTTGAGCACAAATGCCTGCATATTCGGATCCATCCAGATTTAACTTTATGGCCAAGTTCTTGCGAAGAACATCGGCTGTCCAATCCCTGCGGGCGTGGAATCCGCAGCTAATCTGTGGAAGTAATAGGGATCCTTGTTGACTCACCAAGGCTTTTTGTCTCACCTCGACTTTCAATTTCTCGTCTTTCTTGGGCATCTTTCTCACTCCTGGAGTTTCTGGCCCTATGCGGGAACCTGGCTTCGGGGCTGCACTAACCAGTCGAATTAGAAGTATTATAGCATACTTGTGGGCTGACTTGAACCGTTGCTGAGGCCAAAGACACAGGGGCTGGACCCTGATCCCAAGCATCCCCAAACAGATCCCGAAACCGTGGAATATCGTGGAATGGTGGATTTTGAGGTGCATAAGTTCAGGACATTTCCAACAAACTTGTCTTTAAGAATCTCAGATTGATTTCTTGAACAAGGTTAGAATTACCGCCCCAGAATAGTGAACCTTTGAATTGTGTGCAGTCCAGAGCAGTTGTGGGGCAAAAAACTCCTGTGATTCTACCAGACGACCAGCTGTGAGTCCCGACACAGCTCTAACGATGCAGCTTGAGAGGTGCCAATGCCAGCAATCACCTGTGTCATGGCTGCATCAATTTAAAGTGACTGGTGGCTATACAACGCGATACGAAATCAGAATCATGGTCATGCTTGAGAAATCCTGTTGAAGAATCCGTTTAGAATCTAGAACAGCAAAATTGCACCTTGAGCTATTCATGTTTTGCTTCCGAAGGAACCCCTGCATCGCAAGCACCTGAGCTGCCCGAAGAATGAGAGGATTCTCTGGCAAACCTGGTGGCAATTTGCTGGCCATGACCCGACGATTCCCAGCAGCGCGGTGAATCCCTGGCATGGGCGCTGCCTTGACGCATCAATGGTGCTGTGAAGCGCCCACCGCTGGCAGCTGCTTTCTTCTGGGCCTTGGATTTGATTCTGTTTCATCATTAAATTGGCTGGCTCCTGTGAGAAAAAAACAGAGGCTTCCCATTTCCACCCACTTCATCTATTTGCAAGTTGCTGACCAAAAGAATCGAAAGGGTAGAGTTTACTGATTGTGAACGTATAAGCCAAACAACTTGGACAGATCCAAACACTGGAAAATGTGTATCAACTGATGCAAGACCCCACGTAATCCACGTACATTCAAGAACTCCCATCACCATCACCACCCTAGCTATGGCTCCCTGCTCTCAAACTAGGATCTGCATGTTGCAAATGAAGCCTTGCATCAGGGATGAATGACAGAATCAAGTTCGCATCCCAGTCCATTGAAGCTAAATAGATGATTAGACCTCATGGGCGATGTTTGTTTTCCCCAGACACCCAATAGACTTATCGAAGGAAGTTTAGAAGTCAAACTTCCGACAATATGGAGAGATGAAAAGCAGAGCAGGGAAGAGGCATAGAGAAGAGAAAGATCAGAAGAGAAAGAGTAAGAGGACAGAAGATACAGATGCGCGAAAAGGTAGGAAAGTCGCGAAACACTGTGTTTTTCCAATGATTTGTGGCTCCGGAGGGTCGAAAAGTAGGCTCGCTAAAGCGGCGGGTGCGGAGCCAGCTGGCCAGAGGAGAGATGAAAAATTGCACGCCGTTGTGGCGCGAAGCACATTTCCAAGTGAAAATGTACAAAACACACCATTCTCGGACCACTTTTGGAAGTTGCGACGTCGAAAAAGTGCACGCCGTGGTGGCGCGAAGCACATTTCCAAGTCAAAAGTGTTAAAACTGACGGTCTCGGACCACTTTTGGAAGTTGAGATGTCAAAAAAGTGCACGCCGTTGTGGCGCGAAGCACATTTCCAAGTCAAAAATGTTAAAAACTGACGGTCTCGGACCACTTTTGGAAGTTGAGATGTCAAAAAAGTGCACGCCGTTGTGGCGCGAAGCACATTTCCAAGTCAAAATGTACAAAACACTAGGGGTTCGGACCACTTTTGGAGGTTCAGATGTCGCTTCGCTTCAATACACTACACTACAGGACATTACACTACACTACGCTACACTACACTCCACAACACTACAGCTACAACTACACAACTACACAACTACACAACTACACTCCACTACACTCCACTACACTCCACTACACTACATTACACTACACTACACTAAATTACACCGCACTACACTACATTACACTACACTACACTCCACTACACTACATAACACTACACTACATTACCTTCCACTACACTTCACTACATTACACTACACTACACTACAACTACACAACTACACAACTACACTCCACTACACTAAATTACACTACACTACACTACATTACACTACACTACATTACATTACACTACACTACATTACACTACACTACACTACCTTCCACTACACTTCACTACATTAGACTACACTCCACTACACTACAACTACAACTACACAACTACACTCCACTACACTAAATTAACCTAAATTACACTACACTACACTACATTACACTACACTACGTTCCACTACACTCCACTACACTACATTACACTACACTACATTACACTGAATGACACTGCACCACAGATAGACAGGTAGACAGATAGACAGATAAATAGATAGCTAGATAGGTAATTAGATGGAAGAGAGAGAGAGATAGATAGATCGATAGATAAATAGATAAGAGAGAGAGAGATAGATAGATCGATAGATAAATAGATACATAGATAGATAGATAGATGGATAGATAGATAGAAGATAGGTAGGTAGGTAGGTAGATAGTCAGAGAAAGAGAGAGAAAGAGAGGAGACCTCAATCACCTTTCGATCCATCAGTGGCTTCGCTCTGCCATCCCTGATTCACAGCAACCAACCTCTCCTATTGGTTTCCTATTTTTGAAACTTCCGCCACCGCCTTGTGCGGTACTACTGGTATAGTATATTGATCCTCAATGAGTTTGTCTTAAAATCGGTTTTCTCATCATTTTCACCAATCAAATGCTTATAAATTGGTTTGTTAATCCCCCACTGTTGGACATACACACACATATATATATATATAATATTGGTGATATGACATGATATTATAATTATTATATCATATCCCCATGAATATCCCCATAATGGTTGGTTCATGTTGGTTGATTGTGCCATAGCCCCATACATATAACATCATATAAATTCATATAACATATTCCCCACAAAATACTCGTGTTTTTGATGGTTAAGTTAAATCCCGTAAATATGCCCCTCATCCTCCAGCTGCCTGTCGGATAGGTCACCAAGTCCGCAAAATCACCCTGGTTAGCTATCTCATAGGATCTCATGGAAGGCTAGGGTCCCATAAAATCCCATAAATATCTCATATCATCTCATATCCCATATCCCATAAATATCTCATAGGATCTCATTAAGCATCCCGATAGATATCCCATATCCCTCAGTTCCCAGACCATCTGGCGCAAGCGCGAACTGCTGGGATGGCAGTGGCCTCTAGACGTCCCAGGGTCAAACGGCTGGATATCCACCAGAATGGACTGGTTCAATGGAGAACAGATGATACATGATGATACTATAGTAGTCTATAGCAGTCTTGGATAATAGATTCAATAGATAATAAAGCTCAATAGCAATAGATTATTATGCTAGATTATGCTAGTATGAACTAGCATGATATCGAACAAATATGAACAAATGGGCCAAAATCAAGCCCAAATCGATCCAAGTCCAGCTGTTTGCTAAAGTCGTGCCCAAGTTAGCAGGAATCGTTGAACATTGGGAGCACAGACAGTGGAGGACAACTTGGCTGCTGGGGTGGGAGATCTCTGAGCGGCGCTTCGGAAAAAAAGAGAATCGCAAGCTGCAGCAAAGCTTGCCGGAGAGGCACAGAACCAGCCGCAAAAAAGGCAACGATTTGTGAAAAAGTGCCAGAATGTGCCAGATGCTTTGGAACTCCCAGCTGGCTCAAAGTTGGTAGAATCTTTGAGTGACGAGGAGGACGACTTAGATACAACTTCAGGATGCGTTGCGTACATTTATGCAAATTTTGGGAAGTCCTGAAGAGATGACGTCAAACCAAATGCTGAATTGTTTGTTTCCTCGCACCTCAGACCTATGTGCCGAAAAGAGGCCCTCTGGTCTCTGTTTCAATAGGAAGACTGCTGGCCGCAGCGCTTGGCTGGCGGCATGGCGTGCAAATCGCAAATCGCACCACACGTTTTACAAAGGTGAAGAAATGAACATGAAGTGGGTTTGTCTGAAAATAGTGTACCCCTACACCCAATGGTTAATGATCATTATCCCTACTAAATGGCTATAATTGGGGGTATACCCCATTTTCAGACATACCCAAGTAAAGGTTTCCGCTGCATTTCGATGGTGATTTGCTCGAAACTGCACACATCGATGGGGGTTTTGGCCGATTTTCAGCACCCAGGCGACTTAGGCGGAAGCCTCGCTGGCTTGCGCTGCTTTGCATAGCGCTTCGAGCACCAGGTTGCTGTGGATCAGCCTCACGGATGCAGAGTTTTCCTGGAGGAAAATGGAGGACATCCATGGAAATCCAATGATCAGAATGACTCAATGACCATAAGATCCATGAGTATTTCCTCCAGAATTACGAGTACCATGATCAAGGAAATCATGATCATGATCGTCACACCATTGAAACTTGAAACTCTGTGGATAGCATAAGAATTCACAAAATTAACAAGATATGAGTATTTATGAGTATGATATGACTATGAGTCAATATAAGCCAACAATAAGCATCACAAGCGAATCTGCTGGGCTTCCAAGCATGCTAGCAGCAAATGATGCACGGCGCTCTGCACCAACCATGACCTGATAAGACACTTTGAGGACATCTTTGTGAAGGTCAAAACGTCAAAACTGTTCTTTTCTTGAACAGTTTCCAAAATGAAGATTACTTCGGGCGAGGTCGTTTGAGCCGCGGCTATGATCGGACCGAAGATACGTACTTGCCACCTGACCACAACATGACACGGGGCGACACTGCGCCTTTCGGTTTGCTGCCTCCTCTGGTATTGCTGCCAGCAACTCCAGCAAACACATCCTCAATGCAATAGAGGCCGTCGGAGTGAGCACTTTGTGTTTTCAATGTATTCAAGGTATATATAGATCTCTTTTCCCAAATTTAAACGAAGACACTCATTTGGATAAAATAGGACAAGGTACCACTTAGAACATAGCAGAAACTAGGATAAAACTGACAGGTAGAAGAACGTAGGAGAACACACACACAAATATCGTGCAATTTTGATGCGCTGCTGTCAATTTGGAGAGGAGTCCATTTGAAGCCCTTTTTTGTTGTGCACAAGGAAGTTATCTTGTGATTTGCCGCAGCCTTGAGTTGAAAAAGACCATTCTCTAGAGGAAGATCTAGTATAGGAAGATATAGGAAGAGGTATAGTAAGCATCAAATGTGCATTGCGGCCTCGCCGTGCACTACAGATTTCT